CCACGCCAATTAAAAGTTGTTATTAAAAAAGATTTCTACTAGTACTAATGAACATCGATCACGACCTTATGTTAATCACGAATTTCTAGTTGAAAACATAGAATTTTTTCGATTATGCCAAAAATTAAAATGTTAGTGAATTTATGCTTTTATTTTAATAAGTGTTCTCGGCGATTCAATAGGTCATAGCATTCAGCCAAACTAAGTAACAACACTTGTTTGATAATCCTTTTTAGAAATTTTAAAGCAAATACAAGTAGATACTTTTCATTGTTCTTCTAGTAAATTTATATATGCGATCTTACTTAATGTTCCATGATATTTGTCATAAAAAATAGGTTTGTAGTTATAATTAGTGTTCCACAAGAGATTATTAATACTATTCTTAATTAGTGTTCATAAATATTTTACAAAGTAACATTAAAGAAAAAAAATAACTACAGATAATTTTTACCTTTAGTTAATCTAATAGTTACAAAACAAGCTAATAGAAATATATATCCTTTATACTATTTTGTAGTTCGATGTTTCAAAATGTAGACATAATTCCAAACCAAAACACACTTCACAAGAGCGTATCAATACGCAATAAGTTGTGATTTTTTTCTTTTATGAATGTAAAATATTCGTATTATTTAGACCTATACGGTTCCATTTTAGATTGTCATTGATCGTTGCATAACAAAAACCGTGTATTACTTACACGGGCATTGTAAATACAACGAAAAAGAAGTAATGCACGAATAAGTGATAATGTTATATTGTGTCTGATAAATAATTATTATATGTGTGGGCATATTAAATTCGTGATTTTATTGTACAGTTGACAGATGTTAAGTGTCATCAGCACTGAAGGAAATACTAAGTACAGCTAAAAACACTAAACATGCAGAGTCAGCATAGTGGGATAAACATAAAGATACATACGAATATATATTATGTATATAAAATTACAAAATTGAGCAAATAAACTAGACACATGTTAATAATAAATATTTTTATGTATATGGGCAAACAATAGATAGTTTTATTTAATGTAGCTGCCTCACATAAAATGTTAAATGGTAAACTTTGCGATTTTGACTACACAATAATCCTATTTTTACAATAAAAATTGATCACTTGTAGCTAATATTATTTAAAATTTTAAATATATTTATACTTAAAATATTAGTTTAAAATTAAAATACAACGCCCAAACGCATACAGATACGCCAACTGAAAAATACTCCTTTATATACTCCTAGTAACCTTATCATTAAAAAATGTTATTATCTAGTCGATTATCACATTAATATATTTTTAATTTAAAATCCTATTTTTATTAGGAATCCAACGACTAAACGACTGATTATTTAAAATACACTGTACCGTTGGTTAAGAATTTTTATTAATTTGATATTAAATATACTCTAAGTTTAAAAAAAAAACAAATAAAATGTATATATACTCGTTTTTCAGAAACTATTGAATATTTTCAATTTTTGCAATGAAAAAATTACGTAGTTTTTTAAAAATTGAAATATTTTTGAATAAAATCGTTTTTTTTTTATTTTCTCAAAAATAAAATTACTTTAATTTTAATTTTAATTTTCTTAAATTTTGACCTCTATAATTTAAGTTTATATTATTATGAAAGAAAATTATAAATAATTTTGTTCCTAAAGTTCTTTTTTTATCTGACAACGTTACTGTTTTAAGATTTGTATTTCAAGAAAAATTTTGTAAATAATTTGAATTTCGTTAGACTGGAGGCAGTAATTTAACTAACAACGCTTATAACGTATAATAAAATTTGATCACTTGTTAGTAATTAATTTAATAAAATTTAAAATATTATTAATTTTAAAACTAAAAAATATTAAACTCAAAAGCCACAAAAAAATACTGAATTATTACATTTCGGAAACAATGTTACCATTATCAACGCATACTGCACCCCAACTAGAAAAAACTCCCTCATATACCCCTATCCTATCCTTATACAGGGTGTTCAGTAAGTCAGGAAACTGGTTTCTATTGTTTTCATTGTTACAAACAATGAGAACAATAGAAACCCGTTTCCTGACTTACTGAACACCCTGTATAACCTTATCACCTAGTGGCGTCATCACTAAGTAATATTATCACATTTTGACAGTTTAAACAAGTTTAATAATGAATTTTTCAGTAGGCCAAGATCCCAATTAATTAAATTGTTTTTATTTTTAAACATTTCTATTGCCTCCCTAATATTAAGTTCTTTGTAATTATTTACGTTTTTAATTAGTTTTATGGTTTTAATGGAGTGATTATGTGTCATTAAATAATCAGCCACTGGAGATTTCTCAACTTCTTGATTTTTAATGTTTCTTAAGTGCTCTTTAAACTTGACCTCTATATTTCTTTTTGTTCTTTTCTTTGTGGTAACATTGTTTCCGAAATACGTATCCACGACTTTTCAGTAATTTTTTGTGGCTTTTGAGTTTAATATTTTTTAGTTTTTAAATTAATAATATTTTTAATATAGTTTTAATTTTATTTAACGCTTATAACTTTTAATCCAAAATCATTTTATTAAAATTATTACCTTCTTAGACTACGTTTCAAAGCATAATTTTCTTATTGTTCTATTTTGTATGATTAAAAAAACTAAAAGAATTTGTACTTAAATCATTTTTTTCATCCCTTCAGGAATGAATAATTAAAATTTTCTTTAATAAGAACCATTATTTTTAATTTGATGATACTACAAAAAAAGTGTACAAACATTTTTGATTTCCAGATTTTTTTTATCCATCAACCGTTAACGTTTTAAAATTGTTTAAAAATTTGAATTTAAAATAGAAATTCTTCATTAATTTAATTTTAATGATACCGGAGCCACAATTGTTAAAACACATTAATAATTTATTTTAATGGAACACAAATTTTATGTGATTTTATATGATTAAGGCATATATTTATTAGTGAAATTAGTTAGGTATATTTTAATAAACAAAATCTTGATTTTATTTTCCAGAAAATAGTATCAAAGTTATAAGTTTTTTCATTACTAATTATACTCTTATAAAATATTATACAAAGCTCAACAAAAATAAATTGAATATAACCCATTTACAATTGGTTATATTGATAATAGATTTCAATGGTAACGTTTGTTCAATCAATACTTTTCAAATATCATAGAAAGTTAAATGTTCATTTTGATTGAATTCGATTTTCAACGCAAAACATCTGTAAGAAAGGTGTTTATTACCGGCGAAAAATCATAAGATCCATCAAACAGTTATTATGCGATAGATACATTTTAGTGTTATAATATTATCAAAGCCAAAAATGATAACCATTAGGCAACTGGATGTTATTTTTCAATTTAACGCCAACAAACGTTGTATAACTTTACATGACACTGTTTAAAATAAAATTTCACACTGGATGAACATTAAATTTTATAGGACTCATAGAAACATAAGAGTAATAGTTTGTTTACTTTACAATGTATTTGACTGTCAGGAATAATGCTTTTGTGCGTAGTCATTTATTTTACTTGGCGCATACATTATCAACATGTGACACCAATATTACATTTATTATATCTCTATCAAAACGGCGATTTATAAAAAGATTACAATAAAAACCCAAATGATTCGGGCAATTCTTCGGAAGTTTTCTACTTGTATCACTTTCATAATATCATAAGAAAAATAGAAAATTTGAATAAGAAAGTATCAGCGGATACCTCCAAAAAGATAAATGACAAAAACATCTCATAGACTAAACATTTAAAACAATACAAAGTATAAATTATTTAATGTAGATGAAGAAGTTTATATTTCTAAGGATAATTTTCAGACCACGAAATATCTGCATTCTCGAAAGAAAGTAAAAACTATAATTTTATTTTTAAATGACTCAATGTTGAAAAACATCTTTAATAAATGATAGTTGGAAATAAAGAAAATATTTTCACTTTACGTTACATATTATTTTAATTTGTGCCTGGTACTAGGCAATCATTACTCGTCTTACATAATATTAAATAATTATTTTTAACTAAAAAAATTAAATATGGAGGAGGGCTAACAAAAAAAAAAATCTTGCTTATCTTTTAATGTTGTATTTATTTAATAAATAAGTAAATATCTAACGATTTGTTTTTTGTTAATATTTTTTCTTTAAGTCTACCGATGGGGATCCTGGCCTCCGTAACACAGCTGATCACATATACCATTGTTTCTAATAATAAACATTTCCATATAAAAAAAAAAAAATTAATAGAAAAATGGATAACACAATAAGTTTTATTAGTTTCAGTGTGGAATTCAGCGTTTTGTAATATTTCAAATAATATAATTATATGAAAAAAAAAGTTACTGGAATAATTGATTTTTGTTGGCAATATTTTCTAGGAAAAGTAGAACCTATATTGGCGGCTGATAATTAAACAAAAAAAAGTACTTCAATAGGACACCTACTGGCAAAACTTTTATTTAAATACCTGTATAATTAAGATTAAACAACCATATTAACCATTGAAGTATTAATTGTAATGTTAAACAAATTTAGTAATCATTCCTTTAATTATAAAAACAAATAACATACATAATATATCGAAATCAGAAAATCTATATTGTAATTAAATCGGCTATGTTACTTAATAAAGTGATTTAATAATTATCTTGTGACAATAACTCTGTTGCTTCCGTTGTCTAGCATTACCTTTTGGTAATGTCGTTATTAGCCGAATCTATACAGCTGCGTGAATGATTACACTTTTTTTTTCATGCAACATCATAATGCCACAAAATAGGGTTTTATTCAAAAAATGTTTTTTCTTTTTTATATTTACCGCTTTATATTAGATATCTTCCGAATAATACACGCATAATTTCTTAAATTCTATATACATATATACATGTCGTTTTTATAAATTTATGTTCTGTATTTTTACATACTTGTATTATCAATCATTAAAATCAAACAAAATGAATTTTAATTAATCATTTTCTGTGTCGCAGGTTATGATGATACCAAGTCTAAAATTAACTGTCGGCCTAATCTTATGGATATCCCAACATAGACCCACTGACGGTCACGGGCGACTCATAGAACCTCCTTCCCGGTCTTCCATGTGGAGGTAAGAGAGGCCAAATTAAACATTCTATTTAAAATTGTATATTAAATTTACCGTATTACAAAAGGTATGGCTTCAATACGCCGCCAAATTACAATGACCATGAACTTTACTGTGGAGGGTTTACTAAGCAATACCAAATTAACGGTGGAAAGTGCGGCATATGTGGAGACCCATGGGACGCGCCGCAGGCAAGTAACAATCACACCAATAACTAATTAATCAAAACGTGTTATTAGAATGTTATTTTCCTAACTGGATTTTTTACAGCCAAGACCGCACGAAGCCGGTGGTAAGTACGGACTAGGTGTGATAACACGTCGCTACAAGATCGGGCAGCCGTTCATTGTTCGCGTAGAGTTAACCGCCAGCCACCGCGGATACTTCGAGTTCAGATTGTGTCCGAACAACGCACCTAAACGCGTGGCCACACAAGCGTGTCTGGACAAGTACATACTGAGACGTGTCAAGTCCAAAGAAGCGGACGAAATGTTCCACGAGACGCGATTCTATCCGGGAGCCGAAAACAAAGTGTACGAAATGAGATACTCGCTGCCTGAAGGACTAACGTGCAGTCAGTGCGTACTGCAGTGGAAATACATCGCCGGTAACAATTGGGGCGTATGCGCTAACGGCACTGGTGCGGTGGGCTGCGGACCTCAAGAAGAGTTCAGGGCGTGCGCCGACATTTCGGTATCCGACAAAGACGGCACCGTTGACACGTCTCCGTATCCAACGCCGATATCGAATACGTCTACCACAACCAGTACGACCTCTACTACCAGCAGTACTACGGAAGAATCTGTCGACATCAACGAAATACCCGACGGCCAAGAAAACCAGAAACCTCAAGAGTCTGGTTTCGACTTGGTCATTTTCATTTTGTCTATTGTACTATTATCGTTGGGTTTTATCATGATGTTGTTCTTATTTGCGTATTGGTACTTTTACCACGCTAGTGATACTATTAAGTCATGGTGGAGAAGAATGGCTGAAAACACTCCCGTTTGCCTTCGAAACAAAAAAGTTGAAGAAATTAACGAACAACCTGTACCTCCACCAAGACTCAAAAAGACTTCAATTGGATTTAAAGGTGTGCCGGCTAATCTAGTGTAAAATATATTGGTAAATAAAAATCCCATATTGGGAGAAACTTTAGAAACATTTACTAATACGTTTGAATAATATGATAAAACGTTTTAGTTTTTACTGCAGTTCATTTAAATTGTAAATATTCTTTGTTCATCATAATAATTATAACTATTGATAAGGAATTATTTATAGAAATAATATTAAAGGACTATGATTGTTTTATAAAAATGTTAGTTGTAAATTTTAGTTTATTAGGAAAATAAAGAATTGTATTTTTAGTTGAATAAATTGGAAGCCTGAAGTTGTAAGTTATAATTTGTTTTTATTTTTGTTAGTATTTTATTTTTTTAAATACTAATGAATAAAATATTTAAAATTTAATAAATTTAAATATCCAAATAATTATAAACAACTTAAAGACTACTTTAAATCAACTAAGTGGAATGGGATACCAAGTAAGCATGGTCGCCCATTAGAAGGGTTGTAAGGAAGGAACACGCCCCCAAAAAATATGCAATCTCCAAAAAAGTGGTTCTTTATGAAAAAATAGTGCATACATTATGTATGATTTAAAACAAAATTTTATAGTAAATATTTATGCCTACATAAAACAGTTTTGTATTATGATCGATACTAAGCAGAATACAAAAAATTATGATTATAGATTAAGACACATGTTTATTTAATCTATATAATTATTACAAACAGTAAAATTGAGTTAAGAGTTTAAATGACATTTGTTTATAATTAAAATACATATTATTTAATATTTCACTGAATATTGATATTATAATATTAATGACAAAAAAAATGATTTTATCCACTTCTGAATTTTATTAGATGAGCGCCCACACAAGCAGGCTCTAATGACTAATAAAAATCAATTTTTTTTATTAAAAATAGTAGTCTCAATAGAATACTATTGAGATTTATGAACCTGCATTATCTGACTAAGACGTTACGATCTTAAATGACTGTGTCTACATAGTATAAACAAATTTTCCCAATAACTACACTCAGTCAATTTTAAGAATGATCTTATATATTATAACCTTTAGCATAGATAAATCAAAAACAATAATTGTTTTATAACAATAATTAAAAAATTATCTAACTCAATTTTTTATTTAAAAAAACAATAGTCGGCAAAGAAACTTAATTAAAATATACATTTATTAAGTATTTAACAACATTTTTCTAAAATCATTATTACTCAAGGATGTTTTATTTTCTTTCCAGGTTGAAATTGGTAAAGGTGTTACTTGGATTGATTTGTGTGAAATACTTGGCAATAAAGATAATTTTTTGCGAGCATGATCTCGACTATAAAAAATAAATAATCTAAATTAAATTATACATATATAATAAAATAAATTAAAAAATATAGACTATTTTTAATGTAAGATATAATATTCATAGATAATATCTTTAATTAATTTATTTAGATAATTAATCCATCGATAATTTTTTAAAAAATTTTTAGAATATTTTATATTTCAATTGCAATTTTTATTACTTTATAAATCATTTATATTTCCTGATAGAAATTTAGCTTGTAAACAGATTTAATTAATTAAAGAATTTTTTATAAATACAATGTAAATAAACAAGTGCGTTTTATTTTTGTAATAGGGAATTTTAGAAAAGAAAGCAGCTATATTGTTTGCATGTTTCACATGTTAACTTTTAAATTCATTTTTTTTTTTATGAAAATACAATTATACATATACCATATAGGAAATGGATTTAAATTTTGAGCTTGTGACTTTAATTTTGATACTAGTGGATTTGATTTAGTTTCTGGATTATATTTTCTCTCTGGTGGCTGACTTAATGCAACTGATATTTTCTTGTTATGAATTGTCATATTATTAGTTTTAACAAGAGCAGCAGCAGCAGACACCTTAATTTAAACACATGATTCTGTATCATAAAAATATAACAAGTACATAATCTACTTAATATTTGACAATTACCTCATCATTATACTCAACATAAGCCAAACCTTTAGAATGACCATTCCTGAATGTTACAATACGAATATCTTTTAATGCACCATAATGATTAAAAATGTTTTCTAAATCAATTTTTGTACAACTGTAAGATAAACCTAAAAAATATTTTCATAACATTATATAGAAAAAAAAAGAAGAAGAAAGCATTAAGAAAATTTAAATTACTTATTAATTTTAACCATAACTTTTAAACCATTTAGTGAAATAAGATATTACTGATCAATAACTTAATTACTAATAATTTTTATATAATATAAATAATTCATACAAATTTATCCCATAAATTATATAATAATACATTATAGTAGTTATATAAGCTAAATGTGTAAAAAATAAACTATCCAAAATCAATAAAATACTTTATACCTCTTATAAATAATTTATTTTTCTCAAGTTCAGTAGTAAAATGTAGTCCTCCAATTCTATTTTGCTTATCCGGTTCACACTTGGATACAAACATGGGACGTTTGTTGACAAAAGTACGATCTCTTTTAATGGCTTCTAATGTCATTTCCTAAATTAAAACATTTTATCTTCCTTAATAAAAATTTAGGGGACTTATAACTTATTTTTACTTACTGGGCTTTCAAAGAGTACATAACCAAATCCTTTTGAACGATTCCTAAAATCTTTTATTAGCAGCACTTCACAGTATCCTATAGATGAAAACGCATCCTTAACCTCTAATTCAGTAACAGCAAAATCCAAGTTACTAACAAAAACAGAACGATTTTCTTTTCCTTCTACTTCTAAGAAGCGTCCACCTTTATCCAATGTTATTTCCCCTAAAATTATGATTATATCAGTAAAATTTTTATCCAAAATAAAATAGTAAGTAATTTTACCCATTTTTTTTAATATTTTTTTCATGGCTAAAAGTTATTACTTAAAGTTGACAGTAACAATGAGTAATAGAAAATTTAAAATAAATAAAGAAAAAATGTTTTATTTTATTTGTGTTTATTAGTTACGAACTACAGGAAATTCCATAATACTGATTATCTATATTCAGCTTTTTATCACAAAGTATTGTAGTGATATTAAAGATGAATATAAGCAAACAAAAAAAAAAAGTTAATAAGAATAAAAACTAGGTTTTATCACAAAATAACATAATTTAATGATAAAAAATAAAATCAAATATTAGATTTGTCATATCTTTGTGACTACCTGTATATACAAGATGATTGATCATTGGCCACTAAATTTCTCTTAAAATAAAAACAATGTTAGCCTTCTTACTTCTTTCACTCATGTATAAAAATATTCATAACTTCTAAACTACGGTTCGAAAGTTCGAAAATTATCTTAATTGTATCATTTTCCATTATATGAACTAGTTAAATATGTATATTGACAAATAAAAGGAACAAAGGATGAACATAAAAAGTTTTTAAGCATTTAAAATTCGAGAAATAAATACCAATTAAATAAACAAAAAATCTTAAAATCATTATTATTAAAAAAAAATGGTTAACGATAAATCATTCATTCTGAATAAATAAATATATGTATTTTTTATATTCAGTCAATGAATATATATTTACTATTTATGTTACCTCTATAGTTATTTAATATAAAGAAAAACTCAAAATTTACCTATTTTTGATTTCAATTGCGGTGAATACTTGTAACATGTTTTTTCTTTTTTACTGTGTGTTCTAATAAAAATTTCATTGGAATAATACTTTTCATGTTTTCTTTGTTGATTATCTTTACACTTAAATATAAAATTTGTATGTTAAGCATAACAATTTTTTACATGTAAAGGAAACTTATAAAAACTCAACTTTGTATGTTATACCAAAAATCTATGTTTAATTATTAGACAATTAAGTAAAAAAAGAATTACTATGATTTATCAAGCTGAGTTTTCTAATATTTTTATTTATAAAGCTAATTTACATGAGCAAAGAATATTTGTTATGGTAAATATGAAAAATAAAGAAATACTTTTTTCTTTTTTTCCTTTTGTTCTATTAAACTTGTTATTTTTGCTTGATTTTTTCCCCTAAGTTTTTGTACTAGTTTCATTCTAAAAAATATTTTTTTTTACTTTTTAAATGGGAATAAAACAAATAAAAGTTTAATGAATACAAAATGTTATTTTGAAATTTTTCTTAAGTATGTTATTTTAATGATTTTTAATTTAAAATAAACTACTAATTAAAAATACAGTTTATAAGTACCTTGAATTGATTTTTTTTTTGCAACTTAATAAGCAATTTAAATCTCCACTCAAGGATTCATATTTTATCCATTCAGCACTAATTATTTCTGATGAATCAGTGTTAGTCATCAGTGCTCTATTAAATAATTTTCTCACGTGATTTGAATCTCCAAATTTCCTAAACATGTATTACTTTTAAAAATATTCTATGAGTAATATCTATCATTAATTTAAATGATATAATTTACTAGGCTTCCCCTAGCTGGGTCTATGTCCCAGACCCAGTGGCCTGCAGACCTCACACACCTACAGTGCATTATTAAGCTCTGCAGGCTGTCCTTATAAATAGGCCACTGATTCTGGTAGAAGTACCCAACCCAACTTATAACAAAAAATTTGTTACAGGGTGTAAAAATTGTAAGAAAATGTCCTACCACAAAGAAAAATATTGTTAGTATGGTAAGGCATACTATAACAATAAAAAGAACTATTCTATCATACAATACTTATTTTTTTATACATTCTATTCAATAATTTTTATTAGACATTTGAAATAATAAAAAAATAAATAAATTACCTAATAATATTACTCTAAAATATTTAGGTATACTCTAAAGGTATCTTTAAATACCGTGTTATTAGAACACTTGCATAAATGTTAAACAAAATTGACATGCCCAAATAAAAATAATATCCTACTAAAAACTATGCGTGTGGACTTAAATAAGATAAATTTTAAATACTCACGGTGAGTAAAATTTTTGTCTGATTTTAGGTTTTTCAATCTTTTTTGTAACATATAGATTATAGTGGTATATGAGCAAAACAGAAAAAATATCGTTTTCATAGAGAAAAATGGCGCAAGAAATTCGGACGAAAAAAAAAGCTCATAACTCGGTAAAAAATGAACAGATTTCAACAAAATTTTCAGGGTACCTTTAGAATGTCTTTGGGCATGTCTAATAAGAATTTCAAAATTTAAATAAAAAAACATTGTCAGCAATGAGCGTTTTTAATAACATTTTTTAATGCTCACAGTGTGCTAAAAACTTTTTTTCTTATATTCATAAATAATTTTCCTAAATTAACGTAGTCAAGATCTTTCACTTAAAAAAAAATTGTATGTCATTATGTAATTTTTCCATAATAATAACTTTCTTTTATATAAAATATTTTATTATAAACATTATTTTCAATATTATACAGAAGCTCCCTGTAATAAGATTTGGACCTCAATATTAAACAAAAATGTGTATAATTATGAGCAAAAAAGAAATAAAGACCTATTATTGTATAGGTGTCTGGAGAAACCAGACTCTGATACTATGAGTCTATTAAGATTAAGATTGAGTCTATTAAGGGTCATTTTTAAGTCCTAATTACAATAAAAAAATTTAATATATATTACTAAGTATAATTTCCTTGCATTTCTTAATATTTAAGAGTATAACTCAAATTACATTTCTACATCAATATATTTCATCCAATATGTAGAAGAATAGTTATGGCCAACATTTAGAATATCATTCCATATTTTTCGTACACGCACCATATCTCCAGTTATACAAGCTTCAAAATTACTCCACCATAAAAGTAATTCACAAGATGGATCGCCTTCATATCCAAATTCTTTAATAATAAAATTAATTTTTTTCAAGAATTATTTAAAAGATTAATAACTTAAGTATATATGATTGATTGAATACCAGAAGTAAGATATGTTTGAGCGTATTCTAAAAATGATCTAATATTTTGTATTTGTTTCACTCTACTTTCAGGGTCAGCATTATTAATTTTACGGCGTAAATAATAGATGTAATTGAAATATAAAGATCGATAATCAGCTGCTGAACTAAACCTTGAACATAGGGCATTCTCCATAATTTCTAAAATACAATAGGAGAATTTACAGGACAGAAACATAAATTATAATATTTTGTTAATTCAAAATACATGCATTATAAGCTTTATTTCCAACAAACCATTAATTTCTTCATGAGAACACAGTTTAGCCTCAGCTTGGACTAGATAGAAACACCAAAGAGTCACTGACAAAGAACAATTAGCTACAGATCTTTTACAAACATTTAAAACAGTATCAGCATCTTTTATTGTTATTGCTACATAATTAACATAGTCAACCCATAATGAAAACTCTAAAGGAAGATCTGCTATAGCTCTTTCAAATAAACAAACAACTCTGTTTAATTTGTTACCACCTTCTTTAGGATTTTTTTCCCAATTCAGATATTTTATGTAAGAACTTGTACGATTCACAACCTCTGCTGAAAGCTAAAATTAATAATTTAAGGGAAATTTTGTTTTAGACAACATAATGTCTAATAGACAAAATAAATGTTAGTGTAAAATGCTATTTATTGTTATTAATTGATATACTTTTTTTGAAATTTTTCTAGTTTACTAAAATTGAGGGAATCATTTTGATTTTTGAAAGTGGTTAATTTAATACCACTGAATTCAAGTTTAAATTTATGAATTATTAAAATCAGTCCAGTGTTAATCCAGTGAGAATTATTAAGAACACAAAGAAACACATCATGGTAAAAAAAAACCTTGGTTTTGAATATAAAAATGATGAAAATTTTAAAATTACTGAATAGTGTTAAAATTTTATTTATAAATTTCATTTTATAAATATTGTAACTAATTATAATCACTAACAAGTAAGTATTTAATAGTAAAATATTAACCAAATTTTTTATGAATGAGAAATTTTTATTATGTACCTACAAAATTAACTACTTAAAAAAATACTGTTCTTTCAATAGAGATGATAAAAAACAATTTTTTTATTTATTAGTCACTATTTTAATAGTAATTATTATTGAAAATTATGACTTAAAACATTTTAAACTCATTTTACTGTGCTAAAACAAATTTTTATATGAAAAAATAAATTTAATTAAAACTTACATGATAGGGTTAATAAGTATTATTTATAACTTAATTAATATTTCATATTTTTGAAACAGTAACTTACTAAACTATTTTCAAATACTTGAATTTCTTTTAATTTAGTAAAAGCGTTTTTATAATCTGGTTTAACAACTTCAATTTCATTTAAACCTTCAAAAGATAACCATTTAATATACTCAGAATAAGTATTTTCCATGCTAGAAAGAGGCACAGACAATTGTCGGCAATACAATCTATTAATTCTATGTTTTTGTTCTTTAATAGCTTCTATATCAGACTTTTGCTAGAAATATTAATACCAAATATCATAGTTATAATAAAATACAAATAAATGTAAACTATGAAGATTAAATTTTTACTTTTAATGACTCCAACAATAGTTTTTCAAATTCTAAATAAACTTCCCAAAGGGCATTACCATTAGTTACATGTAAACTACCGGCAATTAAAGCTTTTTCTATTAACTGTCGTATTGTTTCAGTTTGTGGGATATCAATCATAGAATGAATACTAAATTTTATATACTGTATCCATAGTTCTATACCTGAGTAAAATAATTAAAAACAATTTATTAAATAATATTTAGTAAATACCAATCTATAATAAAATTTAAAATCAGAGAAGTTTGCATTTATAATTCTAAATACATTTTAATTATAATACAAAAAACTTAGTTATAATTTGTTTAAAAAAGAATGAATATTTAAATTATTTTATCATAATTTCAATATTGTTATGTTACTAACGTTAATTATTAAACATATATTAGACTCAAATTTATGATTAAATATTCTCATCTAAGGTTGATTAACAATATAAATTAAATTGAAATTCTAAGCAAAATAAATGGTTAAAAATATCATAATACATACTTAGGTAATCTTTTACTCCTCTTTCATATAGCATCATAACATATTTTTTTTCTTCTACAGATTTTGCCATAATTGATTCATCTTCAATCCAATCTAACCACAATCCTATAATAATAGCATAAAATAAAAAATGTTTTTAGATATGCACAAATTATTTAAAAATAACATTTTCATTTAATAACATTTAATAAATTTTCCCGAGAAAATACTAAAAAACAGTGCACAATCACTATGTACATTAGTCCAAATCTCTTCTGCAACTTTTTTTGCACCCATATAACAAATAAAACAGTCCATATGGAAAATTACCTAATTCCCGATGGGATAGACTAAATCTAGCTAAGCATATTATTGGAAAAATTAGGAATCAACTTCAAATTATGTGTTTAAAATTAAGATTACACTTCATGAAGTTCATGACAAACATTTTTGTACACAATAATACATTTTTATTAAATTATCTCATTCAATATCATTGTAAATTAGTTATGTAAATCAAAATAATCAATATACATACTTGCACTTAAAGGATATTTTTCATTGAGTCTTATTCTAGCTTTACGTAATTCTGTTAAATCATCAACTTCACGGAGAATTTTAATTAATTCAATGTGTAAATCATAATTTAATGGATTATTGAAAATCTAAATAAATGTAATGAAAGTTAGCTAAAAATTAATAAATGCATTATTAAATATTAACTAATATAAATAAAAAAAAAATTTAAAGAGCTGTTATTTAATTATTTTTAGTCACTCATAGCAATTAATGCAATTTTTCTTTATTGAAAAGGGGGTGCTTATACATTAATAATGATTCTAAAGTTTTAGTCTATCACACTAGGTTTAAAATTTGTTTAATAAAGAAAAAAAAATTGAGTATCATTCTTTTTCCTGGAAAGTATCAATAATTGCATTATAAGATGTAATTATACTGCTAATTTTAATAAAGCTCAAAATATTATAATTGTTTAGTATATTCTTAATTGTTAAAATAATTTTTTTTTAACACATAAGCATTAATATATATTTTAAGAAATAATACGACCTTTTAAACAATTTCTATCTACATGCTAGTGAAGTTAATAGTTATTTCTAAGAACTAACTTCATTTTCCAACATATTAATTTTTTTCATGATTTCTTCATGATTAAATTTATTATATTTTTTGTTATTTGGGTCTTTAGTGGATAAACAATCTGAATCTAAATCCATCTTAGTTGAATGTATCACTCAAATAATTATAAAATTATGTTACACACCAAACAACACATAAACATTCGATTTATATTTTTATTTTAATATTCAGAATTTTTCGTATTATTTTATTTTATTACATAAAATTTTGTATTTTTTATCAGATAATTTTTATCCATTTAATAACAAAATTTATTATCAATTCGAATAATACATATAAACTACAGAATAGATAAGATCTTATCTATTTTGTATATAAACCATATGATTATAGCGTAAATATGCACAGATATATATATGTATATATATGTAACCATGTATATTTCATTACTCCATGAAAATTTGAATGATAATAACCCCTTAAATATATACTTGTATTAATTCCACATCGGAAAAGCCGACAAAGGAGGGAAGATTGTCCGTATAGACAAATTTTTTTTAAATGTACACATTGTTAATCATTTTAAAATTTACTTATTAATCTATTTATTTGTTTCTTAGGAAAATAAATAAATTATTATTTGACGTTAATTTCGAATAAATAAAAAACTTTAAGATTTTAAAGTAATATTTGTTGCAATCGATATGCTCTCTAAGTTAAAGCTGTTGAAGCAAACAACACTGTCAGGTAAATTCTAATGTAGAAGTTAATGAAAAAAGTAATATAAAACAACTTTATTTTATTCTTTTAGGCTGTAAAATTATTAATGGCTGGGAAAGTAGTGTTCGTAAATACAGCGAAAAAAGAAATGGAAGTACTAAAAATAATAAGAGCAGAATCTCTCCCTTAATTCAAGTATGAATATTGAGTTTGAAACACTTATAATTAATTAAAATTGTGTTACCTTTATGGTATTATAATTAAAAGCTTTATATATAGTATATAGTTTTTAATTAATTTTTTTTATGTTGGCATTCTTATTAACTTAATTATTTTTATCAAATTTTTAAAAAAAATCAATTTATTTTGTTACCCGTCATAGAACTAAAAATGTATTTTTTGAAACTAATCTTCAACTTAATTTGAAATTTTCTTCTAAGTTTGATTTTATAGTTAGAGATTTTTAAATCTATTTTTATTTGAATATTTAAATGTTATCATTTTTTGAGCTTTTTATTATTAGAAGCATGTACTTTTTTTTTTTTTTGTACAAATTTTGGCATATTAGATAATAATTCTATCAATATTTTTTTAAAATCTCTAAAAATGATAATTGTTGAAAATTGCATCATTTTTAGGTTGTTAAACCTGTTAAAACTAATTTAACAAAAAAAATGAAAAATAACCCATCTGCTTCATTACCTAAAAAAGAATCCAAAACCATTGAATTTAATGAACCATCGCCTAAATCTTGTATATTATCTACTAATGTAAAGTTACTAACAAGTTATTGTTTATTTTACATTAACAATTTTTAATATAAGCTTTTTAAATTTAGGCTTATTCTAAAGTATCAAAACCACCTAATCCAGATCCTACTTCAATTTCACAATCTCATAATAGTAGTGAAGGGCAAAATAATAGCAACAAAAAACAAAATTTCCCTAACTGGATATTATTTGGAGGAACACTTTTAGTTGCTGGAGGTTTATACGGTGTAATTTAATTTATTCTTATATATTATAGGATCTTATTATTTTTAATACTTAAATTGTTTATATTTATTTTAATACTGCATATGTTGATAATATTAGGCATGGAAGTCTGACCTTTTAGGATCTAATTTAGTTAATGAAAATGTACAAAACAGTGATAGCACAAGTAAATGTTTTATTTATTTTTATGTATTCATATTGAGTTTAGAATATTTTTCTTGATATCTTATTTACTTATTTACTTTTATATTATCATATTATTTAAATATTTAGATAAAAAAACTCGTAAGAATATTCAAATACCACAATCATCAAATTTGATACCCGACAGTGTACAGTATTTACTCATTGGAGGTGGAACAGCATCATTTTCAGCATTTAGAGCAATCAAATCTGCTGATCCTACTGCTAGAGTAATTATCTAAAATTGTATTTATTTATTTATTATAAATTATAGAGGCAATAGCTCAAAAAATACAACATGTATTATGTATTAAAATACAATATGTATATGTATTATATCATAATATAATAATAAGAATATTTTTGGTTTTTGATTTTCAAGGATATATAACATTTTTAACAGTACTTATTTTCTAAAAATTTAAAACTAGTAAAGTAATGCAATTTATTATTTTTTATATTTATTAAAGAGTTGATCTTGTTTACATTGACATTAATCATCTAAGCAGAAACTTCAATTTTTAAAACTGATTTTCTCTTAAACATAATTTTCTTTTATAAGCTTTTGCCTTGTTATTCTAAAAATCTTTTGAGATTCTCAAATTGTTTTATATTTAATAATTTTTAATTTGAGGTTCTATAAGAAATTTTCTACCAAATATATACACTTCCTTAAAAACATAAATTTAAGTTTAGGAAAAATTTGGGGGGCTAATTTAATTTTTTATCATCTCAAACAAACAATAGCATAAAAAATTATTTTTTAATTTTTAGAGGCTACAGTCAAGTTAGAAGCTAATCCCCTCAATATAGTCATATATTGACTATATATGCTGTGAAATATAAAATTTTTTAAAATACATTATTTATGTCTACTAGTATGAACTTAAAATGTCCACTAAATGATATTATTTGCACATTTAAAAATTAAGAAACAAAATTAATTAGGAGTTAATGTAAAAATAGTTATTTTCCATTGTTTTAATGAAGAAATTCGAAAATAATTTGCCTCGTTCACAGATTTGATGTACAAGTTTTAATTTTGACATTTAAATCAAATGATTAAATATTTGTCAATTATTCTTAGGAAATAGTTCAAAATCATCTTATTAAAAACTGTTGCTATACCTTTTTAAATATGATATTTTAAGGTATTAGTAATATCAGCTGAGAGTTACTTGCCATACATGCGACCTCCTCTATCAAAAGAATTATGGTTTAATGATGATCCAGAAACTGTTAAATCTTTAAATTTCCATCAATGGAATGGTACTACAAGAAGCCTTTTTTATGAACCAGAACCATTTTACACACCAGTAGAAAATTTAAATACCTCTAAAAATGGTGGTATATCTATTGCCCGTGGCTGGAAAGTTGAATCTATTGATGTACCAAATAAAACAGTAAAACTTCATGATGGAAAAGAAATTAAATATAATAAATGTTTAATAGCTACTGGTTCTACTCCTAAAACTATTAAGTTATATGATTCTGCTAAACAAGAAATTAAAAATAAGTTTTCAGTATTCAGATCTGTAGCAGATTTTGAAGACTTGTGGGAAGATTTGGTTTATGCAAAATCTGTTGCTATTATTGGTGGTGGATTTTTAGGAAGTGAACTGGCTGCTTCATTAGCCACTAAAGGAAAGAAAAATGGTGTTAAAATATATCAAATATTTAAAGAAAATGGAAATATGGCTAAGGTTTTACCAAAATATCTTAGTGAATGGACAACAAACAAAGTTAAATTTGAAGGCATAGAAGTTGTGGCCAATACAGAAGTAGAAAACTGTACATTAGAAAATAAAGGAAAACAAATCAGTTTATTGTTGAAAAACGGTCAAAAAGTAAGCTGAACTATTATAATTAAATTAATTTACAAAAATAAATTTCACATAAAATAATGAAGAGAATACTAGAAGTTTTGCTTTATATTGAGAACAAAAATATTTAGCATAATTAAAATATTAATGTTTTAAAAAAGTTAAAATAAAAATATTTCTTGTTTTAGTATTTAGTATTTAGTTTGTAATATTCAGTATTTCTCTTTCACTAGTATTAGACAGAAAAGTTAATGTATTAAATAATTTCCTTTTTAATTTTCATTATTAATGAGTTAAATAAAGTACTTTCAAAGGCTAATTTGGTGAGGTTGTTGAAATAGGCAAAGTTAAATATTTTATGAATTTCATTTTGATAAAAAAATATTTTTTGTTTCTTAACAATACTTATAAACATTATTATATTAGTGATGTATATTGATACAACTAAAATAATAACATATATTTAACTGCCCCAATTTTAACCACCACACCAATTGATGGTATTTTATAATAAAAGAATAAAAGATAAATATATTTTTTATAGATAACTGTTGATCATGTTATTATGGCTGTGGGCGCTAAACCTAATACTGAATTGGCATCTAGTGCTGGACTGGAGGTCGATTCATTACTTGATGGTTATTTGGTAAATTCAGAACTGCAAGCAAGAACAGATTTATATATAGTAAGTATACAGAGTGATTCACTTAATTAATCAAAAATAATAATACTAATAATTTTTTTATTTGTATCTTTTAGTTCAATGTTTTACTCAATGTATCAACCCTAAGTGTTTATATTTATCCCTTATACCTTATAAGGGTATCAACTTTAATTTCTCAAATGACTACACACATAAGTAATTAGCTATTAAGAATTTAAAGTAATGACCAGAGGTGAAGAGTGGGTGCTACTATTTTAATAACTAAACATTTCCCTCTACTCTTCCTCTCACAGAGATATAAACATGAAAATAATTTCCGAAATACTGGTCCAAAGTTGTTATCAATCAGTCATTTTCTTAATTAGATTATTATCTAATAAATGAGCTAGTAAATTATGTGTGTTGTTATTTGAAAAATTAATGTAGACACCCTTATAAGGTATAAGAAATGAACATAAAATTTTTTTAAGAATTGATACATTGAAAAAAACATTGAATTAAAAATACCAATAAAAAAATTATTAATATTATTTTTATTTTTCAATTAATCAAGTGATTCATGATAAATGAATCATTCTGTGTAAAAAATTTTAAATTTTAAATAATTACCGAATCTAAATAAAAATTAATGAGTAAATAATAGGCAGGTGACTGTGCATGTTTCTATGACACACAATTAGGAAGAAGACGTGTTGAACACCATGATCATGCAGTCATTTCTGGTAGATTGGCTGGAGAAAATATGGCCGGTGCTAGTTAGTAACATTATTACTAATTAATAGAATAATTTGTTTTTAAACATTTACTATTTTCTATAACTGTTTTAAAGAATTGGTTATTTTATTTATTTGTTCAAAAATAATCACTAATGATTTTTTAGGTAAGCCATATACTCATCAGCCAATGTTTTGGTCTGATATTGGACCTGCAGTTGGTTATGAAGCCATTGGAATTATTGACTCATCTTTACCTACTGTTGGTGTATTTGCTAAAGGTATTTCTAGTAATTTGCCTTCTTTAACTAATGAAGAGCAGAATACATCAGCTAAAAATAAAATTGATCAAAGTGATCAATCAAATAAAATTAGCACTTCAGATATAAATAATGATTATACCAAAGGCGTTATATTTTACCTTAGAAATGATGTAGTTGTTGGAATAGTTCTTTGGAATTTGTTTAATAGGATGTCTATAGCTCGTCAAGTATTGAAATCCGATAGATGTTATCGTGATCTTAATGAAGTTGCAAAACTTTTTAATATTCATGGTGATGCATCATCATGATTCTGTTCATGCTAAATTATTATGTATTATACTATTTAACTTATTTGCAATCAAATAGGTAAATGTTAACAAATACATTTCATGTTTCAAAAAACTTATAAATATATACACTATATATTTTTGTATAGACTGAATACTTTTATCAATTTTTTATGTCATCCAAGGATTGCTTCTCTAAGATAAAATAAGAATAGAATGTAAATTGTTGATGCATTGGTAATTTGGTTATTTAGTGAAATATAAATTATTATATTCTAATTAAACTGTTATTAGTTTGTAATTTTGTATTAATTATTATTTTATTTAATAATAATAAGTATTCGTACTATTACTAAGTTAAATTAAATATTTTTATTTAATTTAATAATAAATAAGATGAAAATTATCTTTCTTAAATAATTCCATTATAGACACATAGGTCATATGGTATCAAACAATTTCATGTGGTAATATATAGCTAAAAAACATCAATTTTTAAAATTATTTCTTAATTTTTTTATTATTGCTATGAAACTTATACAGTGATAATAAATAATTTGTTATTAAATTTCTGCATTTGCTAAAAAAAGAATTGCATATATTAATAAATATAAGATTTATTGATCATTAAAATCATTAATTAAAGTTTATGTTAACATTAAATCATAGCTATATTTTTTAACTTTAATTTCTACAATACTTAAGGTAATAATAAGTAAAATAATTTAAGTAATATTATTTTTCTCAAATACCTCAATGTCAATTTTTTTTACTGTGTATTGGTTTATATTTATTTTTAAGTCTGTTGTCTTATATTAAGTGTTGTAATCCTATTAATTCATCATTTTAAATAAATCTTAATCATCTTGTATGGCCTTGTATAACTTTTATTAATCACTCTTATAATATATCAAATTGTAAAATCAAAATAATTTCTTTTGTTGTTTTATTGTGATATATGTAGAAAAAATAAAGTACTTTGCTATACATCCATAGGTTAACTTCTACTTTTTAATATTCATATTAACAATGGTTTTATAATATTTCAATTAATTTTATAGTGTTAATTTTGTTATATTTTATAATCATTGGTCTTCTAACGAACAATTAATTTATTTTCAGTTAAATACACCATTTATAAAAAAGGGTTAGTAGCTACTTACCCTTTTTTCAACAAATTACATATTAAATAGTTGATATATAATTTGTTCATTTTTAAGAAACTCGTTAACGTGTGATAAATTATTTTATGGTTATTTAGTGTATAGATTACAAACAAAACATATAATAAAATATTTATTAGTTCACCTGAACTTTACTCTTGTTATAAGTAGTTTTAATTTAATTGTTGCGTTAGGTCTAGTAAAGTATATGATTTTGTCGTCTCAACAAATTATAGTTATAATGCGAAGATAAGGTATTAATTTAACATGTGTTACTTTATTTGATATGATTTATTTCAAAGCATTAATTAACTAAACAAGAGTAATTGTACCAACGAGATACTTTAAAAAAACTAGGTTAATTGGGACTGATGAAAAACTATGGCCAATTAAAATTCTTCTTATTTGAAAAATGCTTTTAAAATTAAGTTATAAATTTAAAAAATACTTATACTATAATACAACAGTGTCATAATGTACGATTTGATCGATTTATACCCGTTAATTTCTAGGATTTTTTTTAAGTATTTGGTTGGTAAAAATCACTCAATTCTGAAGATTGTACTGGTTTATCATGAGAAATTACTAAGTACAATAGTTTCTTCTGTACTAAAGACCAAACTGTTTGACACCGTAAGAATTGATGTGACACAAATTAAAGTCAGGCAAAAATTAAAACATTGTATTAGGCCCTCTACATTTCAAAATCGGCTAAACTACTGAAGTTTTGCTCATCACTTTTTTTTTTTATAAATTTAGATAAAAATATAGAGTTAAGTTAAAAACTACATAAGAAAAATATCTCAATAACTATGGCCAAACTCAAAGAAATTTTCAAAAAATTACATTATCTCTCAATTGACGTTTACTTATCATTAAAAACCGTATTTTTTTCAAATATAACAAAACAAATGGCTTTTCGTTTTTAAATAGTATTTACCGTAAAAATTTGAAGTTAAAACATCATGTTTTCTATCTTTGTTGTATGATTGTAATTAAAACAGATAATATTAATAATATAAAATTTTAAAAAACAATAAAATTAAAGAGCTCAAATGTAGGTCTTCCAACCTAAATATCCTACAATATCCAGTTATAGACTTTATTAATTAAAAATTATTACTATAGGAGTTGTAGTTTAAGTTATATTTATAATTACAATAACTAGACCTTTGTTGCAATTAACTAAAATAATTTAATAGAAAGAAAAAAAAAATTAACAAGCAGTAAGAATTATACTATTCAGTTTTAATAATTTTTATTAAATTACAACTCATTTAATAAAAATGACTTCTAAATACCTTATTAAAAATCTTTAACGTATCAAACTTATAATAAAATTATCATGTGGACATGGTGTGGCGCAATGGATTATTCAGCCGCCGTCTTAGCGTTGATATTTAGCTGCGCCGTTATTGTTGGTTCCCAGATGGGTGACCATATAGAAACTTTAACAATGACTCACCTCTTGCCCCACACTGGTTTCATTAGCCATAATGAAAGTCGACAGCTAGTGTAAAATTCTGTCAAATAGTTAAGTCAAAATGTAATATAGATGCCAAATATATAATGCACCTACTTTATTATAGATGAAAAATTTAAAATATAACTTTGGAATTTCAAAAATGTTCCTAAGATTGAATAGGATAATTGTTTTTTAAATATTATCTTCATAAATTTAAAAATTAATAACATAACATAAATTACAAAATATCAAAATTTAAATATAAAATATTTAAATTATAACAATTTGTTTGTAATTTTTTATAACCTTTTGGAATATTTAAAAAAAAAATAGGTATAAGTTTTCTTTAGAATAATACAATTTTTTTATTTTTCAAATTTATTATTTAATAAGTCTTTTTAATATAATTACTAAATCATGATAAACAAGTCATACAGCCAAGTTTAAGTATTTATATATTTATAATTTATATGAACAATGCCTATCTACAAGATGTAATAAGTAACAATACACAGTGTAAATTACTAAAATTAGTATTTTATTAATTTAAAACACACTTGAAATATGACATTACATAATACATTCATAATAATTTATTTTATCATACAACAAATATATTTTTATTATTATTTTAAAGATACATTAATAAAACATTAAATAATAAAAAAAAACCAGCACAGTGGGGTCGTAACATAGTTGGGTCCAGTATAGATGATACCTGACAGTGATTAAAATCACTATCATAAAAAACGCTTCGATACAAATCTATAAAGAGTGTTTAATTTAAAAAAAATATTTGTCAAAGAAGTAGGTCAAGTGAGAGCTGAGAAAATAAATGATAGCTACAAAAAAAAAACCACATAGTAAAATAATATTAATATGAATTTCTTCTCACAAGAGGAGACTACAGTAATGGGATCCTTGATATTTATTGAAGTTATTGAATCTAAATGAGATAAAAATCAAATGAGTTTAACATTTTTTTCTAACTCAAAAATAATTAAGAAAAAATTCAGTGCCACAGACGTGAAAGACCTAAGTGTTACCTTCTCAGAAACCGTACGTCGCATTCGTCACTTAATTAAATGGAAATTTAGATAGTTCAAATTTTAAAGTTATTTTTCTCGACTTCAAAGAAACAAAAAAATTTAAATATGTTCAACTTTTTATACCATGTCAATTAGATTGATATAATATTTATTAAAATCAGTGTAATCTCCTTATAATAAAATGAAATACAAAACCAAGAATTTTAACACAAAAATAGCATATTTTTGAATACAGTAGCTATTTTCACCATGAAGACAAAATAAAGTCCGAAATTTTTTTTTTTAATATTAAAGTATATTACATAAGCTTTAATTTAATATATATATAAAAGTGTCAGTATTTCCGAAACACTTTGAAAAATTAAGTTGAAAAAATTCTACTTTCTATATGCATTTTAAAAATTTGAACCCCCCCTGTAATAAAGGAATGGTCCGATTTAAAAAAAAAGTACGCTGAATGAAAGAAGTTTATAAATATTATTTATCATATAAAAATTGTATTGATCCATACATTTTTCCAAAAGTTATAACATTTTAAAATTAAAAAACCCAGCACAGGGGGGTCGCGGCACAGTGGTGACGTGGTATAGATGGATTAAGTATAATGATATCTGACAGTGATTAAAATCACTATCAAAAAAAAACGCTTCGATGCAAATCTTTAGATAGTGTTTAATTTTAAAAAATTGGTGGACTATTCCAAAAGCTACATTATCTGCTAGTTCATTATTAATATCCTAATTAAGATAAAGTATGTAGAATGAAAAAGGGATTATTAAAAAATATTATTTCTCATAAAAAAATAATGTTGATCCATACACTTTTCAATATGTCATAGCATTATAAAGTTAAAAATTTAAAAAATAAAATCGAGAATTTTCACACAATAATAGCATTCGGTAGCCATTTTCACCGTGAAGATAAAATAAAGTTCGAAATTTTTTTTTCGCATAATAAAGTAAATTACATTAGCTTTAATTTAATATATATATAAAAGTGTCAGACTTTCCGGAACACTTTCAAAATTTAAGTTGAAAAAGTCAATTTTTTGTGAAAAAGTTGTCATTTTGAATCCCCCCCTGTAGGCAGGTCAAAAGTCAGATTTATAAAAAAAATATACCAAATGATAGGTAAAGACATCATGCATCTACAAAAAAAAGAATTATATTGATCCATACATCTTTCGAGAAGTTATAGCATTATAAAGTTAAAAATATAAAAAAGAATTTTTTTACAAAAATCGTATTTTTTTTATTAAGTTTAATGTCTGTTTTCACCATGAAGATANGCAATTTTAAGTAAAAAAAATTGAAAAAATATCGAAAATTAGCGATTTTTAAATTTGTAATTTTTTGGGGGATTTCCCCCGTTTACGGGGAACGAGGGAATTTTTTTCAATTTTTGAGGGTAATGTCTTCGACTAGATACGATTTGTGATCTTTTGACATATTGTTCATCAAAATCGGTCCAGCGAGAGCTGAGATAGAGCGTTCACAGACACAAAAATAAAAATAAAAAAACAAATCATAGTAAAATTAATACCTTCTCAGCTTCGCATCGTAGCTAAAAACACATTTTAGTAAAACCAATACCTTCTCAGCTTCGCATCGAAGCTAAAATACAATTTTTGTAAAAAAATTATTTTTTACATTTTAGCTTCGATGCGAAGCTGAGAAGGTATTGGTTTTACTAAAATGTGTTTTTAGCTACGATGCGAAGCTGAGAAGGTATTAATTTTACTATGATTTGTTTTTTTATTTTTATTTTTGTGTCTGTGAACGCTCTATCTCAGCTCTCGCTGGACCGATTTTGATGAACAATATGTCAAAAGATCACAAATCGTATCTAGTCGAAGACATTACCCTCAAAAGTTGAAAAAAATTGTCTCGTTCCCCGTAAACGGGGGAAATCTCCCAAAAAATTACAAATTTAAAAATCGCTAATTTTCGATATTTTTTACTTAAAATTGCCATAACTTTTTTAAAAATGATCGAATCAATATAAATTTTTTTTTATAGATACCTTAGATATTTACCTATCATTTTATATATTTTTTTTATAAATTTGACCCTTTAACAGCCCACAGGAAGGGTTTCAAAATGGTAGCTTTTTTACAAAAAATTAACTTTTTCAACTTAACTTTTGAAAATGTTCCGGAAAGACTGACACTTATATATATATATATATATTAAATTAAAGCTTATGTAATATAATTTATTTTGAAAAAAAAAATTTTGGACTTTATTTTATCTTCACGGTGAAAATAATAGACATTATAGTTAATAAATAATTACGATTTTTGTAAAATAATTTTTTTTTATATTTTTAACTTAATAATGCTATAACTTTTTGAAAGATGTATGGATCAATATAATTCTTTTTTTTGTAGATGCTTGATGTCTTTATCTATCATTTAGTATATTTTTTTTGTAAATCTGACACTTATTCTGCCCACAGGGGGGGATTTAAAATGACAACTTTTTCACAAAAAATTTACTTTTTCAACTTAACTTTTGAAAATGTTCCGGAAGGTCTGACACTTTTATATATATCTTAAATTAAAGCTAATGTAATGTACTTCACTATAAATAAAAAAAAATTTGACCTCTGGACTTGTCTTCGTGGTGAAAATGGCTACCAAATGCTATTTTTGTGTTAAAATTCTCGATTTTATATTTTACATTCACTTTAAAATGTTATAACTTTTTGAAAAATGTATGGATCAATACAATTTTTTTATGAGATATAATATTTTTTAATAATCCCTTTTTTTTCGGGATATTAATAAGAAAATAGCAGATCATGTAGATTTTGGAATAATACACCCATTTTTTAAAATTAAACACTATCTAAAGATTTGCATCGAAGCGTTTTTTTTTTATAGTGATTTTAATCACTGTCAGATATCATTATACTTGATCCAACTATGCCACGTCACCACTGTGCCGCGACCCCCCTGTGCTGGGTTTTTTTATTAACTTTGATGACTGTTTTCACCATGAAAACAAAATAAAGTCCGAAATTTTTTTTATTAATTCTCTTAGAGAAACGTTAAATTATATTATATTTTTAATATATATGTTTTATTACAGTGTAACGATGTCCTCATACAATTTAATAGTATAAGTAACAGTATATATTATAATTTTAAATAATAAGATAACGTAATAATAGACTAATAGAGTAATACATAGATAATACAATAGTTGAATTATTAAGAGAAAACATTAAAATATTAATGGAATTTGACTTATAATTATGAAAATAATTTGTAATAAATATAAAATAAATTTGTATTGCGAGTGTATAATGGTTGTTAACCTCGAAGATTAATTCACTTCATATAAATTAATCGTCAATCTTATTATTTAGCAATCAAAGCATTTTTTGGTAGTGTTATGTATTATTTATAAAATTAAGTATCTCTGTATATTTAATAAATATAAACTCAACTCAGCATAGTGTGATCACGGCACAGTTGGGACGATTATAAATAATATCTGACAGAGTTAAAATCATTCTTATAAGAAATGCTTCTATTCAATTCTGCGTATATTGTTTAATTTTTTATATATCCAAAAACAAATCAACTTCGATTCCTTAAGTATATCCTGCTTACAAGTTTTATGATTTATAAGTATAATACAGGAATAAACAATTGTTTAAGAAATTTAATTTAGTATTGTAATTTTTATAATATGGGAAATTATAATAAGTTATAAAATAGTTGTATATTTCGTTACCTCAATGGTAAACATGTATCCAAATTGTAAGTATAGATTTATAAAAAAAAACTAGTAGCACAGTGTAGTTGCGGCACAGTATGTACGTAGCATAGTTGGGTCGAGTATAAATGATAACACTACATTAGAAACGCTTCGATGCAATTTTGTAGATTGTGTTTTATTCTAAGAAATTAGTGGATAATTACAAAACCAATTTCAATTCCTATTTCCTTAATTATATTCTGATTAGTAGTTCTTTAATTTAAAAATATAAAAAATGAATAAATTATAATTCTATGAAATTGTAATTCATACGGAGAAATTATAAAAATAATAAAGTAGTTGTATATATCTTTACTTAAAATGTGTATAAAAATTTAAAGGTCTATCCAATACTTATAAAAAAAAAAATGTTTGTTTTTTATGAACAAATACACTAGGCTACATGGAACTATCATCAAAATCAATAATATACTTTTCTAAATCAACTTTACACGCTGTTTTCAAATCTGCAATTAGACTTATTATTTACAGTAAATTTATGAGAAAAGTTCAATATTTTGTTAAAATCACTATTTTTTTTAGCATTTTTATCATAATAAATATTTTAATAAAGATCATAGTAATAATTCTGAGTAACTATTGGTGTTTAAAATGATTCTACAATTGAAATATTCTGAACTTCATTTTATAGATTTACTTTAACTAAAATACCAATTAAAAAGTTGTTAAAAGAATCTGCTCAATTGAGAGTGTTATAAAATTTGATTACAATTGTACAGATCCATTTTTAAATTCAGGTAAAACTAAAAATAATTTTTTTTTAGAAATGATTTATACAACAACATGTTACCAAAAAAATTGGAAAATTATAATCTGGATGTAGCACACACAAATAGAGCTAAAAAATGAATAAACTACAAAGTAAAATTATTTAATTTTCTAGTTGAATCTATTATCATATCAAATCTAATTCGATAAAAAATACTTCAAAAAAATTAGAAATGAATGATTTTAATTGTATGTATAGAGAAAGTTGGTTGAGTAACTTTTTATCTGACAAAGGGGATATTTTTCAATTTTTGAGGGTTATTACCCTCAATACAATAAAATACATTAAAATTCATACCTACAGGCAGGTTTGAACTCGGTACCCTAAGCGTGAAAGACAAATTGTGGTACGGGTTCGGCTACCCTACATCGTTGTTAGATAAAAATGGAAATTTAAGCTAATTTAAATCCCAATGTTATTTTACTCGACTTAAAAGAAGCAAAAAAAAAAAATAAATAAGATTAACATTATATTAAATACGTCAAATAGATTTATTCAATATTTATGTAAATCAGTTTACTCCCCTTGTAAGGTATTTTAAAATAAAAAAAAAACGAGAATATTAACACAAAAATATTTTTGAATCCAATAGCCATTTTCACCATGAAGACAATCTATAGCTCGAAATTTTTTTTTGTTTATAGTGAAGTATATTACATAAGCTTTAATTTAAGTTTATATCAAAGTGTCAGTATTTCCGGAACATTTTCAAAAGTTCTAATTTTTATACGCATGTTTAAAATTTTGACCTCCTTTACGAAGGTAAATACTCAGATTTAAAAAAAAAATATGTCGGATTAAACGTGTGTAAATAAAGTATTTATAAGAAAACATTGTATTGATTCATACATTTTTCAAAAAGTTATAAAATATAAAATAAAAATTAAGAGTTTTTTTTTAAATCTTATTTATTTTATAAACTTTGATGTCCGTTTTTACTATAAAGACAATCTAATGTTCGAATTTTTTTTTCATATTAAAGTATATTACATAAGCTTTAATTTAAGATACATATATAAAGGGTCAGTATTTCTGGAGCACTTAGAAAATTTAATTAAAAAAAGTTCATCGAAGCTAAAAGAAGAAAGTTAATATTTTTAACTTAATTATACTAACCTTCTTTAGTTAATTATTATTTCAATCATGAAATTTAAATTTATCATAAGCCATTGGACCATTTTTTTTGGAAAGCGTAGCCTCCTTCCTTTTAATATATTTATTGGATTGACATTAAAATCTGATCTTAAGAACATTAAAGCACTTAGATCGTTTATATTATTATTTTTTTGTAGTGAGGGTTTAATTACCCTTCCTATATGATTATATATAGTATAACCTAAAATAGAGGCATAAATAATGAAAAAAAAAAAATGAAATAAATAATTATAACATAAAAAACGGTGATTTTTTGTGCAAAATAACAATTTTTGTTTAACTTCGATGGCCGTTTACATAAATATGTATATATAAGATAAGGTGTCGGGAAAATTATTTTTTAAACATATAGTATGTTACATAAACTCTAATTTGAATNGTATATATAAGATAAGGTGTCGGGAAAATTATTTTTTAAACATATAGTATGTTATATAAACTCTAATTTGAATTATGTTCAAAAGTTAATTTTTTGTGCAAAAGTTGTTATTTTGAATCCCCTTTGGGCAGGTAATAATTTAGGTTTTCAAAAAATATATCTTATGATAATTTTAAAAGAAGTTGAAATTTACCGATTTTAAAAATGTATTTTTTTTTTTGAGGATTTCCCCCATTTACAAAGAACTATGGAATTTTTTTCAATTTTTGTGGGTAATATTTTTAATGAAATACAATTTATGATTTTTGATGTATCGTTAAGAAAAATCAGTCATTGAGAGCTGAAAAAATAATAATAAAGAGATTGTAATAAAATTAATACCTTTTCAGCTTCGTATCAAAGTTAAAAACCGTATAAGTTATGTAAACAAATATTAGGAACTTTCCATACATTTGTTCATTTAGTATAATTCAACTAAATATTTAATAAATTTACTAAATATTTTTTGCTTAGTAACTCAGCGTTGTCTAAGCCTAAGTATCATAATTTTTTAAGAAATATCGTTTAGTCTCTAAATAAATTTACCTACTAAATAACAGTGTAGTTATATACATAATATCTTATATATTTTATATTTCTTATATTTTCGTAAAATGAATTGGTCGATTCAAATTTGTAAGTTGAAAAATGTTTTGAATAAGTCTATTTTGAATATTTGTTCTAATTATATTAATATTTTTCAAATTCATTGGAATGTATCATTTTAATTTGTTTACTCTTTATAATTTGATGCAAGTTCAAATTTTTAAATGCTAAATATATATTTTAGCATTTAAAAATTTAAATGGATCTTAATGCATTTAATGAGATGTGTGTATTCAATAAAACATATTCTCGAATAATTAAAATATCTAACTAATAGGATGGGTCATACCTTCATTTGGACGTTGTTTTTGAAATATTAATATAATTTTTAAAACCAATTAAGGTTTTTTTTAGTGATTATCTTTAAAAATATTATGGTCAGGGTAGTCATCAATAAATTTTCTATGATGATTCTTTGCCACGTAGAAAACGTAATTACTGAGGAAGAAAGTTGAAGCAGCAACGCGATAGATATTTAGTGTCGGTGACCCAATTTTCTTTGAGAGCATATTAATGCATATGCTCCACCCGCGCGTTTTTATTTCGCGAATTATATTTCCCCCTGAAAGACTTAGTGCCCACCCCTTCTTCGCTGCTCACTGTTAAACTACAAATTGTGTCTGTATATCCCAATTTCGTCGTAAATCGTCATTAAACAACATTCGAATTGAGAGTGTCACCAGGATATCCAGTAACATCTGTACCAAATTGTGATCGGTATGTATGTTAATTTCAATTATAATTGATAACAGGGAGTTCTCTGTGTGTTCGTGTGTGTACATTTCGCCATATTTGTTGTTGTTCTCGACGTCCGTTGTGATTAAAATTTTGTTATTCTTGCTTACGTTATCTGTTTAGTGTGGTAAAGAATATTATTATTATTTTTTTTTTTTGTACTTGTTTGCCTGTTGATTTTTAATTTAGTGATTCCTTTCAATTTGTAGTTCTTGATAAAAACCATTGTTCTTAACAACTATGTCAATTATTCTCTGTAAGTAATCTTCTCCTCTAAAATTATTACTTTAGAATTTACTAAACAAGATCTTTGAGCATAACTGCGGGTTTTCATTTAATCAACGATCATGGTGATTTTGAAATCAATTACATACGCTCAAAGGCGTCAGAAGAGATGGCATACATTGTGGTTGATTTCTGTTTAAAATTAAATAATCATAAATCAGCGTAAGTATGAGTTGAAATTGAGACTTATTTCTATTATCTATTAAGTAACTTTGTCTAAATATTATATAAAATTTGTTGTGCTTTTTAGATAACAATGATGGATGAAAAATTTAAGTCTGAAGATGGCAATAATCAATCGGAGCTAGACATGCCTACTGTTGTTTCTGAAAAAGGTGTATTACTAAGAACAAGTGCTAGAGTATCAAAAAAGTTACGTATGACACCAGTTTCTACTTCTCCTGGTCCTAGCAGTTCAAAATTAGGTGAGTAATTTGTTTAAGTTAGCAAAATTTAATAATATTAATTTTTGTCATGTATAGATACAAATGATGCTCCAGTATTTAAGTCAGTAAAAATCCGCAGAGAACTTTGGTCACTTGAAGAAACAAATTCTTTTTTTGAGGGTCTTAATGAATTTGGCAAAGATTTTGAATCTATTCAATGGTTTATGGTTAATAGAATCAAACGGAAAGGTTCTTGTGAGCAGGCTATTAAGAGCAAAGAACAACTGAGACATTTTTACTATAGAATTTGGCATAAAATTTGCAAATATATTGAATTTCCTAAAGGTAATATTCTTATTATAAATAATTAAAATTTAATAATGATGGGTTCAACATTTTTATGTACTGTTATAGAGATACCTAAAGTAGTGCAAGAACTTTATGGTTTAATAAACTATGGAGAATTGAAACGAAGAGTTGGATTTTGTAATGATAAAAACTGGTCTAAGTTATATGAAATGATATATCATGGTTCAACTAAAGTTAGAAGTAAAGGAAAAATGTGGAGAGTAAAAACACCACACTGTCGTGCTCTTAGAAAATTAAACTGTCTTGAAGGTTTTCAATTAAATTTAAAAAAATGATAAGTATAAATCGTTGAAAATAACTAGCAATATTTATTTAGATACAATTGGAGATTTGAAACTTCCTGGTAAAGTAAGCATTGAGTTAAAGCCACGTGATATGGATACTTGGGCTTTAGTACAATCTCTTGCTATGAATCCTCGTATTAGAGCTACTGTAGAGTTACAAAAGCCTTTGTCTATGTTGTTAGCTTTTTTAGAAAACAGATGGCAATCAGAAAATTGGAAACTTGTATCCTTTATTAAATAATTATAAATAATTATTTATTTAGCAGAATTTTAAAGGAAAAAATTAATGTTTAAATATTATGAATAATAGCAGCTTATAAGATATTATTTTAATTTATTGATGTTTATTTTTGATTTATCAAAATTTGTTATTTGTGATTTCTTTAACAACAGTTAATAGCGTGAACAAATCAATAGAATTCAAACAATGAGTTCTGAACAAGAATCAAAAAGGGTATTAAGAGTAGCTCCAGCAGCTGGTGTCAATATTACTCCAATAAGTGTAAATTTTAGTGATATTGAAAATAGTTCAAATGTTAGTCTTTTAGCTCATAGGAATACTCATGGAATTTCTAAAGAGTCTGTTGAATCTATTCTTCAGAAGGTAGTGTTGTTAAATTTATAATTTAATGTTATTATATAATTTTTTAATTATTTTAGTTTCCATCAACAAAAATGCAGAAACCTTACGTGAAACGAGTACGCAATGAAACCGCCAGTTTATCATCTGGATCTTCAGTATTTAATGATAGTATGTTACCCTCATGTGTATCAGTTTCATGTTCATCAAATGACGTTGCTTATGACGGAGAAAAAAATCTTGATACTTTAATGGCCAGCCCACCTAAAAGTGATCCAATTGTGACTACTCAAGACCATGTCAAAGAAAAGAAAGAAGAGTTTATTGTTAGAGTAAAAAAGGGATGGACCTTAGCCAATGTTGAATCTATTAAGATTGGAGAACTTTATCTTATTGTAAGAAACTTTAAAATTCTTAGAACTGTAAGTTCAACTATCAAAATTTTTTTATGTTTAGTGTGGTAGTGAATCCAAAATTCAACTAGAATATTGGTTTGAAGATTGTGCTGAAACTTCTAATAAAAATAGATTGTCACAATCACTAAACAAATTAATTTCCATAGCTCAGTACAATTCAAATACTCTTAAAGTAAGACAAAACTAATAACAAAAATTTTTCTGTTATATTCTTTTACCTTTAGTTTTATTTTCCTAAATAATACAATATTTATTTTTTTAGTCTTGTACATGTGGGTTTGTCAATAGTAAATCACATAGCTTACCTAGACAAACAGAGGTAAGATTCATAATAAAAAATTATATTAAGTTCTTTTAATATAGACTATATAAATAAATTTTTATTTTTGCTATTAAGATTAAAACTGATGCAGATCAAATGCAACGTAGTCCGTATTCACTGGTTAATAGTTGTAAAGTAATGGTTCATTCACCATCTTTGTTCAGAAGACCATTGCAGCCGAAACCCCTGCATTCTACTAGTTCCTTCGAAGCTCAAGTTGGTGTAAGTGATTTCCCTATTATTCAATTATGACTTTATTTTGAATTTTACAGACTACTTTGTTAAAAAAATATTTCCTAAATAAAAAGTATCCTAAAAAACACACACTAAAAAAAGCTGTAAACTAAAAAATGGAACCAAACAAATATGAATAGGAAAAAAACTTAATCAAAACATATTGTAATATTACTTTTATCCATGCTTTTATTAAAGATTTTCTTTATTTAATTTTTAATTTAACACCTATTTTGTCATAATATTACTATTTTCTATGTTTAGTTGCATATCTATTTTAATTACAAACTTTGAAAAGTATTACATTAGTGTCTTAGACATGTACAATTTTCATATTATTAAAAATTTGTCATTCATTAATAAAAATGTATCAGATTAGTATCTTTAATACAAAATAGAGTTTTTATAAATCTTAATGGATAATTTGTGTTTTCAAACTATATGTTTATGTTTCCCTTTTAACTAAATAAGAAAGTTTTTATTAATTTTGACTATATATATTTTGAATAGTTTTTCTCTTTCTTAAAAAAAAAAGATTTCAATAAAAATTGTATAAAGACTAATTTTGCATCTTAAAAAAATAGGATTAGGATGATTGTAAAATTTTTATTTTTGTTTCATTGTATAGACATTAAAATTCAGAATCTGTAAACGTATTTACTTCTTCATTCTTTATCATTGACAAAAAAAAATTTTAGTTTTGCAGAGTATATTAAGCATAGTAACAATAAATTGTTGTTAATTTTTGTATCTTCACTTGTTTTGCAGGTCCATCAACTTACTTGATTATTGTGTATAATTAACAATTATATTAATTGTATTATTTATTTCTAGAAACTTCAAGGAATGCCAAGATATTGTCAGAGAACAGGGCGACCTGGCAATAAACATGTTGGAATTGTTCAAAAACTACTACCTTTACAACCAAAAACTAGTTTAACTATTGTGCAAACATCTAATTTTAGACCTATTATACCAGCTGTAAAAGTTGAACAAACTGCACATAATGTGAAATCTGAAAATGATCATCTTGATCAATTGGGTTATGTAAATGATCAAACTCTATCTCCTCCAAATAGTTAGTATAATAAACTATTTTATTTTTATATATTTATTTTGAGTTATTTGTTAGTGTATACTTTTGACTTTCACTTTTAATTAATATGTATTTTTAGATAATAAATTATAAGTGTGAGAACCTTTATAAAGTTGAACATTTATTGACAAAAGACATAAAAATATTTGATTATTTTGACTTTTAACTAATTTTTAATGTTTGATTAGAAATTTGGAAATCAGAACCTGATCAAGAAGATATTCCTGACGATGTTAGTATTACATCATCAACTATCAATAGACTTATAGATAATATACCTGATCTTACATCCCCATCAAATTTCTCTGGTCTATTACCTAATTGCAGCAGTTCAACTTCTCCAAGTCTCATTACACCATCAACTAGTCCTTCACGACTTTTAAAAGATGATGGAAATCAATGGCTTAATCCAGAAGTAAAAATATATTGTTTAAAACAGATTCACTAAAACCTGGCAAATGCAATAATAGTTAATATATTTGTCAATAAGACAAGAATTATTATTACCTTACTGTATAAAATATTATATATATATATTATTATTATATATATATATATATATTGTTGACATTTTATTCTTGAACAATATCTATCAAACTATAAAAAATTGCATGTAAAAAATTTATAAATGTGAGTATGTGTCATATATCATTGAAAAAATTATTTGGATATATTGGTAAAATTACTTAATTAAATTAAGTAATAATTAAAACATTATTGACTGATAGTTTTTCCTGAGTACAACCAATATTCAAACAATTATTCATTCAATAATAAATGTTTTATTAGTAAAAGCATATTTCATAGAAGTTGTTAGTATAACCAGTAATGACTATAATGACTTAGCTCATTTAATTATTCAAAAATCACCCCTATAATAATTAAATCCCAATATGTCATTGAACATAATTACATGAAATTTTTCAGTTCTTAAATTTATATTTGTCAAAATTAGAGGTTCGAATATATTTATTTAAATTTACTTGTAACATTGAATTTTCTATTTTTAGATGGATTTCTCATTAAGTAGTTTTTTGGGACATCTCGAAAAAGATGAATCATCTAACTTAACTGAAAGTGACAGAGAAAAAGTTATTTCTAATGATGTGAGTAGTAATACTGTACAAATTTTTTCTTAATAAAAATGAATTTTTTTAAATTGATTAAGTTGTTTAATATTAGAACTAGTTAATTTATAAGCTTTCACTATTGTGTCACTTTTAAAAACAGAATCATAAGACATTAAATCCATTTGTTTTATTATTCTCAATTGTGTTGTCTGTTAAAAAATAAAGTCTACATTAAACATGTATATTTTATTGATTTATCTTCATTTTAGGTGGAGGCACAATTTCAATGTCTTATGAGTGAAAACAGCACTGATTATACTGCAAAATTTGCAGATCTAGCTGCTAAAGTAGCTGCCAGCAATAATAACTGCCAATAAATAATTTTTTGAATAATTATATTTATTTAGTTATAATTTTGTTTTGTTATAAGAAAATACAATTTTTTAGACGTTATTGTTACATTTTTAATAATAATACGAGTGTTTTATTTATTACTATACATTACAATCATAAGATTCTTGTATTATTTTTGTTGACAAAGCATAGATGTAAATTCTGTGTAATATAATGAGTTAATAAAATTAATCTCTCGTTTTTTATTTTCTAATATTTGTAGGATTAAAAGTTTTTAGTCTCATAGTCGGGTTCCTGGATAATAGATTTTTTTTTGTCTTTAATTTTTTAATTAAAGGGTTTATATTCTTATTACATTTAAAATACCACAAGTTAATTTGTAATTAATACTTTACTAGTAAATAGAGCACGGTTATCTGTATAGATAATCATGATATAAAGTTATATAAATATATTTTACATAAAAATAAGTTCAACGGACTAAAAATATTTCCATAGTACTTTATATCAAACTCAAAGTCAATCTTAAACAATTATTTGTAAAATAAACAAAAAAGCTCAAATTAATGAATATTTTAGCATTTAACAAAAATTATAATAAAAATCAATTAATTTTTTATTATTTAAACTTACATGATACAATTTTACATGTTCTAATATAAATTTCTGTGATGTATTGACACCACTAAATCAATGTAATGTATTTTGCACAGTATTATTTTTTCAGAATTTGTTAATTAAATAATATTTAATCTAATTTTCATATATAACAAAATTTTTACTTATGACACAACTAGTTGTAAAATAATTTAATAAAATAAACATTTTCTACAAATATATAGAGATAAAAGAGCAATATTAAAAAAAATTGTCATCTTTTATCAAAAAATTAATCATCACTGCAATAAAATTTAAGAGAAAGAATTAAATAACTGAAGAAAGTAACTAATAGTTATAAATAAGTTAAGTTTTATTTTTTTTTAATTTTACTTGGAAGTTAACTAATAAATATTCTTAACTAAACCCATCTATATAAATAAAAATAAATCTTACTAGTTACAAATTAGAAATACAGATGTATTCTAACAAATTCATACATAATTCTGACTAAATTAAACATTCAATATAGAAGAATGGCACACACAACAATAATAATAGTAATATTAACATAGGATTAAGCTCATTGGAAGATTATTTGATGATTTATTCAACCATTTGGAGTAGTGAATTGACAGTTAAATCTTTGTCTCCATTATTAGCTTCAAAAATATTTTTCACAGTATCTTTATCTACATTTGGGAACATATCTTGAACCTGCAATTAAATAATGTGTAATCATTATTTTAAATTATACATAAGGTACACATACTTGTTTTAAATCTTCTGGATTAAGAGGTGGTGCTTGTGGTGGTGGTTGTACATAAATAGGAGTGAGATCTTTACTTGTATTAATATTTGGTGGAACCATCATAACTGGAGACACTAAACCTAATGATGGTGGAACCTAGTTCACCAAATAAATTTGTTTTATAAGAAAAAATATAGAACTTTTATTTTAAGTGTATAACTAACCCCATAACTCATTATAATATTTATAGTGCCCTCATGATTAGGCCCTTGTTTACCAGTGAGATTATACCACTGTTCAATAGTAACTCCTTTAAATATTTGTAGAGGTATTGGTATAGTTGTCCATGCTATTAACTCATCCATTTTAAAAGAGCATTCATCAAATATTTCTACATGAATTTGATTGATACCATCTGGTAAAAGACTATAAACATGAATAATAATTATAAAAACCTAGTAAAGTTGGAATCCAAATCAAGGATAATGGAAATTGGGCATAGCACCCTCCACTAATAATTGATATCTGAATGAGATTACATCACTATCTTAAAATGCTTGATACAATTATACATATAAAAAATACATAAATAGTAGAAAATTTTCTTTTATTGTTGAGTATATATAATCGTTTTTGTTAACATAAAGTCAAAAAATTGGTTATTATTCAAAAATGTAATATTAGTATCAAATATCTATACTAGACACCTCTGTAAAAATGAAAATCAATTTAATTAAGGAATAAAGATAATAGGTATCTTAGGGAGACATAAAGTTTGTACAATTTTATAAAGCTTATTCTCAAAAAAAATTTTTCTTTTGATTTTGTGTTTGAATGAACTAATACAAAGTTTAATTTAACATGTATTAAAAGGTATCAAGTTTTCAGAACATTAAAAAAAAACTCAGCACAGTAGGGGTGTCGCATAGTTGGGTCAAGTATAATAATATTTGACAATGATTAAAATCACTATCATAAACGCTTCAATGCAAATCTATAGATAGTGTTTAATTTTAAATTGATGGATTATTCCAAAAGCAACATGATCTCCTATTTCCTTATTTATATTCTGATTAAGATAAAGTATGTTGAATGACAAAGGAATATAAATATTATTTCTCATAAAAAAATTGTGTTGATCCATACACTTTTAATAAGTTATAGCATTATAAAGTTAAAAATGTAAAAAATAAAATCGAGAATTTTCACACAAAAAAAGCATTTGGTAACTATTTTCACTGCGAAGACAAAATAAAGTCCAAAATTTTTTTTTTCACAATAATGTACATTACATTAGCTTTAATTTAAGATAATATAAAAGTGTCAGTATTTCCGGAACACTTTCAAAAATTAAGTTAAAAAAGTTCTACTTTCTATATGCATTTTAAAGTTTTGAACCCCCTGTATTAAGGGAAATGGTCCGATTTTAAAAAAAAGTATGTTTTATGAAAGAGGTAAATAAATATTATTTTTCGTAAAAAAATTGTATTGATCTATAAATTTTTAAAAAAGTTATAGCATTATAAAGTTAAAAATGTAAAACATAAAATCGAGAGTTTTAACATAAAAATAGCCATTTTCACCATGAAGACAAAATAAAGTCTAACATATTTTTTTTCCATAATAAAGTATATAACATAAGCTTTAATTTAATATATATATATAAAGGGTCAGATTTATAAAAAAAATATATCAAATGATAGGTAAAGACAACATGTATCTATAAAAGAAAATTATATTGATTTAGTCATTTGAAAAAGTTATTTTAATTTAAAAAAATTTCGAAAATTAGCGATTTTTAATTTGTAATTTTTTTTGAAGATTTTCCCCATTTACAGGGAATGAGGGAATTTTTTCCAATTTTTCAGGGTAATGTCTTCAACTAGATACAATTTGTGAACTTTTGACGTATTTTTTGAAAAAAATCGTTTCGGTGAAATCTAAAAAAAAGTGGTAACAGACACAAAAAAAATAAAAAAAAACACATCATAATAAAATTAATACCTTCTCAGCTTTGCTACGAAACTAAAATTAAAAAAGAATAAATGTTATTAATATGTATGAATCGTCATGTAAAGTTCTTATTATAAGTAGATAAATTATCAAATTAAAAAAAAATCCAAAGATATATTTAAGATATTGAAAATTTTTTGTTTAGATACATATATATAAAAAATATTCTTCTGGGTGATTATATTAATATTAAACAATTTAAGGAGATTTTAGGTAAAAAAAAAAAGAAAAAAATTAGGAGGTTTGATTTCCTGCCATGTTTTTTAATTTAGTGTATTAAGAGAGAGAACGTTTTGAGGATAATGTCATTAACTAAATACAATTTGTGATTGTTTGACATATCATTAAAAAAAGTTGGTCTCGTGAATGCTGAGAAAAAGTAGCAAAATAGAACATAAAAAATTCAAACATAATCTTTTGACATATTATTGAAACAATTTTGTCCAGTAGAACACGAGAAACATGAAAGATGGACACACGCACAAAAAAAAAGCTATACATCAAAGAAAAATTAATACCTTCATACCTTTTACTACAACTAAAAATTGAAGAATAATAATTTAATATAATTTTTAAAACTAAATATAGAAAAACTTATATAATTACGTTTGAACTGTTTTATGCCATTTGGGAGTTTTGCCACCATTAGCATCTGTTTGTGTTTCATAAACACAATGACCTACTCTTAAACGTACATATGGATCCATTCTTGTTAAGCCATAGTTTTTAACTAATCGAGCTTGAACAATAGTAATGTTTAGTCTATTTCGATCGCGATCTCCTGGGATTGCAGTTAATGCTTGTTGAAGAGCCAAAGCTGCTTGTTGATCTGCAGCTTCTTGTTGTTGTCTTATAGTTGATTCATTCAGTGCTGCTACATCTAGCCGTAAAAAATCTTTAGGCAATTCACCTACATATACCTAAAATCAAAATTATTTAGTATCTTAAGATCATATCTTTAATTTTTTGTACACATATATTATAAAATTCTTCCATTACAATTTTTTAAAAATTTCATATTTTTAAAAATAATTATTCACTTTTTATAATATTAAGATAGTAAACATTATACTAGGATTGATTTAGATTTAATTTTTTTTATGTTATGAATTAAATATAATATATATTAAGTCATTAAAGAAAAAATTTTTTTTATTTTTTGATATTCACTCTTAATTTTTATATAATTCTATAATATTACTATAATTTGAAATATAGCATTAATATTTTACTGAAATAATTTATGCATAAATCCTAAAAAATACCTAAATGATTAATAGTAGGCTTTAAATAAGGTATTTAAGATACTTTAATAACTCTGGTTATATATTTACTAAAGCCTACTTCAATAAAAAATAATGAAATCAATTATAAAATTTCACTTAATTGAGTGTTTTATTTAGAAATATAATGTTCCTTAAAAGTAGTAATATAGCAACAATTATGTAATTAAAAAAAATATATATTTTGAAGATTGTTTTTTTTTTTTTTGGTATATTTCATAAAATTAAATTGAGTTTCATTATTTAAAATAATGTAATTAGCTAAGACTTTTCTAAAAATGATTTTTTCCGACTTGGATATTAATTTACCTTTTATTTCTACTAAGTATTACATATATTACAAAGAAATGATACTGAAATAAAAAATTTTAAATTAATAAATTAAATTTTTTAAATTGCTCATTTATGCTCCGATTTATGTTTATCATTTCTAAAAGAATAGTGTTCATTAAACAATATTACATAGAGAAATTAATTACCCTTTTTCGTCTTTCTTCATTAGTTCTGGAAGTAGTAGACGTCATTATTAAATATTTATAATCAAAAAATTGTTTTAAGTCATATAAAATATCAAGATATTTATTTAAAAATCGAATTAGAATAAATATTTGTTGCTTAAGATTATTATCATCAAACTAGAACAAATTAATATAACATGTGTTATAAGTAACAAAAACAATTAGTAAGTGTAATTATTTAATTATTTTGTTCACTTGTTATTGCTTGTTAACAATATTGCTGGTTTATCACCATAGAGTAATATTATCATACGTTAAAAATTCTCATGATGTTTTTATCATTTTAAATTAGTGAGTTACCTACACTGTTTACTTGCCGATATATCAGAATGCAAACAAACTTAACCTCAATAACAGTTAGCCACCTCTTTCATATTAACAAAAACGTGTTCCATTTTTCGTTTTACCGACTTCATAATTGATTAAAACCCTAGAGTTTTTTGTAATTTTTATTTTCGATCTATTATCTTAATATATAATTTCAAAATGTCCGACATTGAAGATACTGTAGAAGCTGGAGAGCATGGAGATATGTATAACCTTTTAAAAGAAGTGTTGAAAAACGCTCAAGTTAATGGAAGTCTACTTCATGGAATTCATGAGGGTGCTAAAGCATTAGAAAAGAAATTGGGTTAGAAATTGTTTTAATATCATTTAGTATTTAATAACAGCCAATTTTTTTTATTATAATCGTTTTACTTATCAATCTAGGTGTATTGTGTGTATTGGCTAACAATTGTGAAGAAGCTATGTACAAAAAACTAGTTACTGGATTATGTGCAGAGAATAGTATTCCTCTTATTGAAGTTGACAGCAATAAAACTCTTGGTGAATGGAGTGGTTTATGTAAGTACGACAATAATGGTCAAGCCAGGAAAGTAGTAGGTTGTTCTTGTGTGGTTGTCAAACATTTTGGTGATGATACTCAAGAATTAGATACGTTGTTAGAGATTTTGAAAAAGAAAAACTTTGCGTAAACTATAATAAATTAAAAATCTTTGATTTAAATGTTCATTCTGTGTTTTTTTTCATTCTTCTACAACATCCTTATTGTTTGAAATGTAATGTGATAAAAGGTAAAGTAAAAAAATCTTAAATGATGGTTAAATCATAATTTGTCATTACATATAAATACTAAAAATTCATTTTAAAGTTGGAAAGGTATATGCTAGTTCAAAATAAGTGTAGTGTTTCTTATGAATAAGTACTTCATTTAAGTCATTTGTTAATATTTTCATGTGCATTTATTTATTTAAGTACTTATGGGCAGAAATAATTTTGCATCTATGTTTTTCAGTAGTGTGTTGCATAATTCATCTATTTTTTTAAATAAATGATAAAAAATATCTAAAGAAAAAATGTTTATATTGTGCGTTGGATACATATCTAAATTTGAATGCAATTTATTTATTTAAATAAACAAAATAAAATATATGAATTTGATTTATTGTAATATGTACAGTTATTTAACTTCTTATTAAATTAAATTTTCTAATATGCTATATTATGGAATTATCAGTTGTAAAATATATGACACTTAAAATCTAATTCATTTTTTGATGATAATTGTTATGTTTTAATTATAAAAACTAATTTCTTTAATTTATGTGAATTAATATAAAAACAAATTGTTTTATTAATACCTACATTTTTTTTTTTTTTATTAAATTTCATTGGAACTATTATATTATAATTTTATTTTTAGCAAATATAATTTCAAAAGCAAAGATTAACTTAAAAATAATTATAAGTCTTCAGATTTCATCCCAAAAATTGTCAATAGTCAATTTAGTTTTTGATTATTTAATTTATGAACCAATTGTTATAAAAATACATTCCAGTGTCTTATGAGTTGTCTGATTCACACCTGAAAATAATTAATCATTAACAGGTTATGAAGTATATGACTATAAATTTGATTAAATTATTCTAAACACACCAACAGTCAATATACATTTTTATTAATTAACTTGAAATTAATGTGTTTATCAATGTTATATTGAGAGGTAATTAGGGAGTTAATCCTCTCCTAAAATGGAAAATATTTTTGTATTACTTTATAAACTTACAACAAAGTTGTACAAATTTAGGACTCTAAAATATTAAAAGAAAATTTATAAATGCATATAATTATATAATTCATTGAACTTTAAAATGTTTGATTTTTGTGAGATTTAGAGTTTTAATGTTTTATTAGCTAAAAGTTCTTCTTACACATCAGTTAATAACTTTCATTACTACAACAGTATAAGATTAATTAGTATTATAATTCTTACATGCATGTACTATAGTCAAATGTAAATCCAGTCGAACATTCTTTCTCTTCTCTGCATTGGCAAATACAAGTATCTGAATTCCACATCTTTAAGTCAGATTCTTCGTTACATTTATTTTGTTCATCTTCATTAATGCATTCACAACGACATTCGTTTGCTAAATATTTTTGTAAAGAGTTGCAGTCCTATAAAAATTGTTAATTATAGTTTAATTTTCTATATAATTTTTACTTTGAATATTCAGCTCAAAACTACACATCTCATATATAAATATAAAATTTGGGCGAACTTGTTCATTTTTCTTTTGATGGAGCTCTAGTTTCAGTCCCACTATATTATTATTAAGGATGAGCAAAATCAGTGTTTATAACTAGCGAGAAAGTAGGTAAAATAGTACTTGCAATATCTACTCCATGGAGCTTCACAAGGATGTATAGTTTCCGAAAATTTTTTTTTTTGACTAAAATGTCTTAATTTTATAATAATTGAAAAAATAAAATTATAAATAAAAGATTTTTTGGTAGTTTTATTAAGTTAAGTGTTTCTATAAATAGAATAAATAAAAACCAAACCTACATGCCATTAATCTATAAACAATAATTCTCTTAACCCTGGCATTTATATAAAAATTTAACAAAAGTAAATTTTTAATTAAATAAAAAATTTGTAATACAACGATTATGAAAATTAATCTAATAATTTCTTGGCTGTTTTCTTTCTTCTACCTTGGCGTAAAAATTTCAATAACTTCTGAAATGATGGTTCAAAAGTTGTTATCAAACATTCATTTTTTTAATTCATTATTCTTTGAATAAGCCAATTATGTATGTTGCCATTTGAAAATATAAGGTTGACATAAGTTATAAAGAATTATCATAAAAAATACTTATGAATAATAAATTGAGAAATGTATGTACTAAAAGAAATAATAAAAAAATTGTCAATATTATTTTATTCTTCGATTATATAAGTGGTTCATAGTAAATGAGTCGTCTTGTATATTTGAAAAAATTGCTGACTTATATAGTACGATATTATTAAACGGAGGATGATATTTTTATTGGATTGATTTTTTTTTTTGGTATTTTTTCTTGAATTTCAGAAGTATTTTAACCAAAAATTAAAAAAAAAATGTTAAGCGCTCTTAAAATAAATTTCTGAGTACGTTATTGATCATATAGAAACGTAAAATTATTGTACGTTTATATGTCTAGATTTATTCGGTAAATCTGTGATACTTTCTTTTTCTTTTATCAGGCAACCACATTTACACTTTGTGTGCTGTTCTACTGTAACTGTCTTTTTTTCTTTAAACTGAAACGACCCGTCTGAGTTATATTGCATAACTGTAATCTACACAAAAGATTTATAATTGGTTATAGTCATATATCCTTAGAATATCATTATATTGCAAGTAATTACTTCAAAGTCAATAATATCTGTGTTTACTGGTTGACATGCCAATAAATCATGAGAACAACAACCCCCACAACGGCCTACTCTGGTACAAGGAGGAGAATAGTATAAACTAGGATCATCTGTGTCTTTAAGATTGATTGTTTTGTATTCTACAGAACACCCGGCTGCTTTTGGTACAATTGTTACTGTAAACGGAAATGTAGCTTTATGTCTGGTATAGTATTGGTAATTAACATTAAATGTTTTTAATTTTGGTCATCAACCAGATGCATATTGGATCATTTAATTTGATTAAAAAATAACTTTAAAAGAAGTATTAAACCACTAAGAACATGGATGATCGTTCTTTACTTATCTTTAGTCAGAATGATCCATTAGTGTCTGATTAAGACCTTTTTTAACCTATCGACAAAATTCCATGTAAAAATAATTACATGAATTTGATATAAATTCACGGTTTCTTGGTAAACTTTTCATATTTTCATGTGGCAATAGCTTTCTGAATATATCTAATTCATTTGACATCTGATTTAGTTCCATTATTATACTTAATGGTATCTGTAAATAAGTTTAAATTATGTAAAAGTATATAGTTGTTTCTTATACAATAAGAATTAAAAAATTTGATACTAAATTTATGGATTTCAGGAAAAAATAAGTTTTTATTTTATAAAGAGGCGTACTTAGGGGGAGGATAGAGTTCTAAAGTTCTTATGAAGTTAACATCCCCTTAAGATATAAGAGATGATTCTAAAAAGTAATTATTAGTTGATAAATCAAGAACTACATGTTAATAAAAGAAGTCAAACACTATTTTTCCATTTTAATTTTAACATTATTGATAATTTAAACATAATACAATTTTTATGCTTAATGATATTTTATGTTTTGATAATATTGCTAGTTTTAAACGTTATAATTATTAATGTTATATATGTTTTCTTTCTCTGCATTTAATATAAAATCAATTGCATTAGTTTAAATAAATGTTTATACGTGGCCGACCCCAAGTTATTGGGATTAAGACGAGGAAGAAGAAAAAAAGAAGAAGAGAATACGAACTTGAATTTTGGTTTGACTTTTAGTCCTAGTAATTTTTTTTTCATCAAATAAATTACTATTTATTTTTTTATGACAAGTTGGGCAATTCGATTCTATAATTCCATTTATAACTTGTTCTTTTGTAGTGTATTCATCTGAAATGATCATTTTATTTGCAAACGTAGAGAACAATAAATTTACTATTATTAAAAAAACAAATAGCATGGTAGAACGTGTCTTTAAAACATTAATACTGAGTTTCGCTTATTGAGTAATTGTAATATGAGTATTTGTCTACATAATATCATTTAATAGAGCGTTTAGTTAAAATAATTAAGATAAGAAATTAATGAATATTTTCAAGTGTCTACGTTAATTAAATAAATTTCGCATTAAATTTTATTTGACGCTTAGAAAATAACTTGCTATTTTGCAAAACCTATGAACCTCAAGTTTATTTTTGTATATGCTAAAGAATTGTTTGTATTTAATATCAAAATGAGAGGACGAGTTTTAATAATTTGCAACATTACCACAGGAGTATCATTTAGGAAACGGAACGGAAGGGTGAGCGGTCGCACTGTTTTAGTAGTGGCGTATTTACAGTTGGCGATTAATAAGGCGATGACCCCCAACCTCATCTACAAATGATTTTTTTTACATATATATATTTATTAAATGTTTAACTACTATGATTAGAGCAGTTTATGATAGATCATAAATTCTGGTCAAAAAATAATATTTTTAATAATTATTTGATAATTATAATTTTGTTAAAATAAAAATTGAATTTTATATCTCATGCTACAATCAGTAGTGGTTATATGAGAGGGCGATAGGTGGATGCGCTCCCTTTTAATTTTTGCCTTTTTTGAATAGTATTGTAATATTTTCTTTTAGAATATTTGCAGAAAATCAATACCTCTTGTATTTCTTGGACCGCATAAAGCATACACTAACAATAACATCTTTAATTTTAATTTTTGCAATTATATATAATTAATACAAAAGTATTAAAAAGAGAAAATTAATTATAATAACTATTTAGCGTTGATTGCAATACAGACTGATGACTGAATGTGTCTATAAAAAAACATTACACATTCAAGACGCCCAATCCCTATTTATGCTTTTCGTGGCACATATAAGAGCTAAAGACCCTGTTTTTCCATTCATTCACTTATCTCTTCTTCTCACGTTACTTTCTCAGATTATTCCCAAAATACTCTAGTGTATTCTTTGTGTGTATCTCTGCAGTCTTATACTTAATTTAATCACATATTTAAAAACTTACATTTGTTAAAATAACTAACATTTTTCTTAGTTATAAATACGCTTCTATAATTCACATATAATTCTCTTCTTATTAATAAACCTGTAATTTCAACAAACGCTTCGAACAACTATAAGTCAACAGACGAGATTCTATCATCATCGGTGGTTCTTAGGTAAGAGTAGTTTTAACGCATTAACTACATTAATTAAGTAATGACTAGAAATCAAAGTACTTGTATTTATCATATCTTTACGGATGATGCTATTATCATTCTTCTTTATTAATACCATTCCCATCAACTTTATTTTTAGTTATTACTAGTGGCGCCTAACTAGTAGCTTCGAAACCCCCGAGATTATTATATTATAAAAATAAAAATAAATTAACGATTTAATAATAAAATTTATATTCTATTTTTTAATTTAAACCTCCAAACCATAAAATTTTCATTTATATATTTAAAAAAATTTTAGTTTTAATGTAATACTTTTATTGAGAAAACGGTTTTATTTTAACAACTCAAAATTATTTATATATATTGTCTACAAAAAAAAAAGAAACTCATAACTCCTAATTTATAACTAATTTTTCTTAATAAGTAATTACGTAAAATTTTAACTGTAGATTTTTGTTATTTTTATATTTTTCTTAATCTCACAAAAATCTAATTTTTATAATAATTCTTTTCGAATTACAAAAATATAATAAGACGAAAGATACAATTAAAATTCTTTTGTTATCGTTTACATAATATTACCGTAATTAAAACAACTTAAACAGTATTATTATTCTAAGAAAAAAAAAAATGTTTAAATACTTGAAAGAACTATAACCGATAAAATATATATATATATATATATATATACATATTCATGATATCATTTTACTAATGTTACATAATAATGAAAATAACGATACTTATACAAAGTGATATATCAGCATAAACAATGTAATATTTTATTTAAATTTAATAAAATTAATACTATATTTATTCAAACTACAAAAATAATTTATAAATTGTGCTATGTTTTTATGACAATCAATTCAATAATTTAACTTCTTCAAATATTTTATGCATTTTAGTTACAATTTATCCAAATACATTTAGTTTAATATTACAAATATTTACAAGTATTTTATTCAACAATTAATTACTCTTCTATATTAATATAAAAGACTAGTAGTTACTGGAGGAACTACGGTCACATTATCTGTTTGGTTCTAAGACTCTAAATGTTATGCTATTACAACAAATGGATGCATAAACATATTGATTGCATTATGTCAAAGTCTCAGATTTTTAAAACATAATCATAAATATAGATATATTTTCTTTTAACGCAAATAATCGGTATTCCCCTACCCTGAGGGGAATATCGGGCATACATAAATACATGTAAAAAGATCGGGATAAAATAATTTTTAAAAAAATTACTAAAATATAGTTCAAACTAAAAGTTGTCTTCAAAGATAATTACTGAAAACAAATGTCAATAGGAAGCACTTCATTATAACAATATAAATTCAGAGTGTACTGGCGGGCAAACAATTAATAACTGAAATACATAATACATATTCCTATGTGATTATAAAAATTAATTTCCTAAATTTTAATAATATTAGTAAAATTTTTAATATTTAAAAAAATTTTAAAATGTTAGACTACATTTATCTTTGCTACCACATTCTTAAATTAAATTTTCAAGATTTGGTCGTTGTTCGACGTCGTTGATTAAATGACCTATTGCCGTTGTACATATCTTATATAATATGCTTTGATATTTTATGCTATAAACTATTGTAGTACGTAAAAAATGTTTAAATCTTATAATTGCATAACCTATTCCATTTAACTTGATATTCATTTAAAATAATCTAAACAATGTGTGACAAAATAAATTATTTAGTGTCGGTTCAATAAAATTATAAGAATACCATTTTTTTCTCGGAATAGTTTTATAAATAACTGTAAATTTACATTTTTAACTGTATATTACCATTTATAATTATTACTCATTAACTATATAGATTAAATCTTTAGATTGAGTCTTAAGCAATTTTAATATAAAGTAAATAAATTAGAAAAATTACTGAATAAGTAAATAATCGACTAGATATTTAGGATTGTAATATTTCTGAGTTGCCACATCAAAATTGTTATTGTCATCATTATCCATCTCATTATCTTCATCACTTGGGCTAGGACTATAATGTATTTTTATATCATTCGTATTAACTCTAGGAAAATCAATTGTTCTATAAATGTCGTCATGATTTCCTAATTGTCCTAAAAACATAATTTTAATTAATATTTTTATTACACATAAATCCTTTATTATATTATAAAAACCCAACTTGACTTGAGTTACTATGGATGGCTAGATTCTTCTCTCTTCACTGATTAATTCTATCTATTAATATTATATGACTTTAACGCTTGTATGAATATGTAATAAACAAAAAAAATGACATTAGATGTCTCCCCAGACATTGATTACACACACATATATATATATATATATTTGATTTCAAAACTTTTGTTAATTTTTAGTGTTTAGCGCTTTTTTTTAATTATTTATTTTAAGGTAATATGTTGATAATTTTAATAAAATGTATTAAAATATATAATATTTTATTTAATCTTGAATGAATAGACATGTTAGAGAGGATATGAAATAGTACATGGAGGGTATGATTTTAGTGTAAAGAATGAGACTGGAAAAAAGTCCCGAATTTTGCCGTATCGTATGATCTTGGAGTGGTTAATACTTATTTTAGAAAGAGGGAAGAACATTATATAACTTATAAGAGTGAGAGGAATAGATCACAGATTGATTGTTTTATGTGGAAGAGAGAATGCGTAAAGATGAGTAAAAGATTGTAAAGTTATACCAGGCGAGACTATAACTACACAACATAGACTGATGGCAATGGAGTTGTAGTGTACCGGGAAGAGAATATACAAAAATAGAAAGAACACAGGAGAAAAATCGAGGTTCCAGTAGTGGAAATTCAGAGGGTAAAATGAAAAAGAGTTTTTAAAGACGATGAAATATAGGACGGTGTGGAATATCAAGGGAGACATAAATTATCTGTGGCATAGATTTGCTAGTTGTTTAAAGAATACTGCAAAGGAGATTGTTGGTGAGAATGGGAGTAGAATGTCATAAAACAAGGAAACCGGCTGGTGGAATGAGGACATTCAAAAAATAATAGAGAGAATGAAAAGGCAGTTAAAAATATGGAAGAGGAACAAAAGAAGAGAAGATTGAATGGAGTATAAACGCATGTTTAAAGAAGTCTAGTGTGCAGTAAGTAAGGCGAAGTTTAAGTAGTATGATGAGTTGTATGATAGGCTAAGAACAAAAAAAGGTGAAAAAGAAGTCTATAGCCTTGAAACAGTCTAAAGACTTTCACAATGTAAGGTGTATAATAATTTGATAATGAAATGAAAAAATGATGGAAAGAATATTTTGAAATATTGCTAAATATGGAGTATTTAAGAGAGATATTAGCGGATATATCGTGGTACGAGGGACTGATAGATGTAATTAGAGAGGAAAACGTAAAGTAGGTTGTGAAATTAATGACAAAGAATAAAGTAGTAGGAGGGTCCGATGAAATACAAGTAGGAGTATTGAAAATATTAAGCGGTGTTGGCTATAAGGTGGTTGAAGGATTTTTTTAATAAAACTATTTTAAAAGAGAAACCGCTAAAATAATGAGGAATAGTATTGTGGTACCGATATTTACGTATAAAGGAGACATACAGTACTGTGAAAATTATAGAGGCATAAAGCTTTTGAGACATAGTAAGAAGATTTTGGAAAATGTAATCGAAAAAAAAAATTAGAGAATAAGCATCAGTAATAAAGAACTAGTTTGGTGTTTTGCCTGGAAAGGCAACAATGAAGCCAGTTTTTTCTGTGAGACAACTAATAAAAAGTGTAGGGAAAAGAAGAAAAAGCAGAGTATGGTGTTTATAGATATGGAGTAAATGTAAGATGGAGTATGGAGAGAGGTGGATATTAATGAGAAAAAGAGTATTAAAGGAGTACGTTTAAATAATATACGATATTCATGATAGTATTTCCACCAAAATAAATAGTATAGGTGAAGTAACAGAATATTTTACGGTAAGAGTAGGAGTGCACCAAGGTTATACTTTAAGTTATAACTTATTTTCTTTAGTGAAACTATCGTATCGAGTATATATGCATATATGTATAAATAGCTGAACTGTATTTATTCAACCAACATTACAAAAATAAATAAGTTTGGAGCCAAACGATACCTCGTAAATATTTTAAAGTACTAGCGAAACAAAAAAGGAATTGGTCTGATCAACTTAAACTTATTTATTACCACGAAAGTTAAAACCTGAATTTATTAAACCGTACTCATAGAAATAAATAAGTTTTAAAATTTAATTACTACGGATATAACAGTAGTTAAAAGTGTTAAAACCAAACAACACAGTGTATAGTATAGATATGGTAAAATCACCGTGTCTAAATCAATTAAATCATATAATTTCAACTAAATCAAACAGTGGTTTGGTTCAAAAATACTTACTTGAATATAATGGAACTTTGCGTTAGTAAAAGAGATCAAAGTTGTGGGTGAATCGGAAAAATCATCGTACGTGAAAAGTACGATTCTGGAGCCGACAGCGTGTTCCCTCAAAATCTAAAAAAGCACATTGAATGTTGCACTGCGGATCCTCATATTAGTCGAAACTGTCAAACAGATAAGCAGGCAACAAACGTAAAAAAAGCCTGATGGGAAAATAAAATCACATTGGCCAAAATGTAGAATGTTTTATAAAGATAATAACGGGGGCTACGGTATAATCGTAAATAGTAAACTATTTTTGAAAAAAGAGAGCGCGTGTTTTTGTGATTCTATAGAAGAAGACAATTATCAAGCACAAATAACTAAAAAGGAAAAAAACCTAGGAAAGATGAGAAAAATTGACGAACAATCGGTAACTATTGTTAGTTTTTTAGCTTCGATGCGAAGCTGAGAAGGTATTAATTTTACTATGATGTGTTTTTTTATTTTTTTTTTGTGTCTGTGAACGCTCAATCTCAGCTCTCGCTGGACCGATTTTGATGAACAATATGTCAAAAGATCACAAATCGTATCTAGTCGAAGACATTACCCTCAAAAATTGAAAAAAATTTCCTCGTTCCCCGTAAACGGGGAAAATCCCCCAAAAAATTACAAATTTAAAAATCGCTAATTTACGATATTTTTTCATTTTTTTTTACTTAAAATTGCCCTAACTTTTTTAAACATGACTGAATCAATATAAATTTTTTTTTTATAGATACCTTAGATATTTACCTATCATTTTATATATTTTTTTTATAAATTTGATCCTTTCCCTGCCATCAGAAGGGGATTAAAAATAACCACTTTTTCACAAAAAATTAACTTTTTCAACATAACGTTTGAAAATGTTCCGGAAAGACTGACACATTTATATATATCTTAAATTAAAGCTAATGTAATATACTTTAATTTGAAAAAAAAAAATTTGACCTCTGGACTTGTCTTCATGGTGAAAATGACTACCGTAAGCAAAAATATGCTATTTTTGTGAAAAAATTCTTTTTTTAACATTAGGATGCTATAACTTTTTAAAAAATGCATGAATCAATTCTATTTTTTAATAATAAATACTTTACATATACCTTTTTCATTCANTGATAAATACTTTATATATACTTCTTTCATTCGACATACTTTTTTTTAAAATCGGACCATTTCCCTTTATACAGGGGGGGTGCAAACCTTTTAAAATGCGTATAGAAAGTAGAACTTTTTCAACTTAACTTTTGAAAATGTTCCGGAAAGACTGACACTTTTATATTATCTTAAATTAAAGCTAATGTAATGTACATTATTCTGAAAAAAAAAATTTTGGACTTTATTTTGTCTTCGCGGTGAAAATAGTTACCAAATGCTTTTTTTGTGTGAAAATTCTCGATTTTATTTTTTACATTTTTAACTTTATAATGCTATAAATATGACAACTTAAAAAATAAAATAAGATAAAATGACAACTTTTTCACAAAAAATTAACTTTTTCAACTTAACTTTTGAAAATGTTCCGGAAAGACTGACAATTTTATATATACCTTAAATTAAAGCTAATGTAATATACTTTAATTTGAAAAAAAAAAATTTGACCTCTGGACTTGTCTTCATGGTGAAAATGACTACCGTATGCAAAAATATGCTATTTTTGTGAAAAAATTCTTGATATTATATTTTACATTTTTTAACATTATGTTGCTATAACTTTTTAAAAAATGCATGAATCAACTTTATTCTTTAATGATAAATACTTTATATATACTTCTTTCATTCGACATACTTTTTTTTAAAATCGGACCATTTCCCTTTATACAGGGGGGGTGCAAACCTTTTAAAATGCGTATAGAAAGATTAACTTTTTCAACTTAACTTTTGAAAATGTTCCGGAAGGTCTGACACTTTTATATATATCTTAAATTAAAGCTTATGTAGTACACTTTAATTTGAAAAAAAAAATTTGACCTCTGGACTTGTCTTCGTGGTGAAAACGGACATCAAATTTAAAGAATAACGTACGATTTCCGTGAAAAAATTCTCGATTTTATATTTTATATNCGTACGATTTCCGTGAAAAAAATCTCGATTTTATATTTTATATTATTTAATTTATATTTTATATAACTTTTGGAAAAATGTATGGATCAATATTATTATTTTTTTATAAGANAAAAGTTCCTAGGAAATTATTACTATTACTTCTATTTAAGTTATCTATTACCATAAAAATGCAAAAAAATATTGAGCTTTTCTGATAAATTTACAATAAATAGTAATTATAAAACTTTCTGACTGCATATTGATCTTAACGATACAATTTTTTTAATTGTCATAAAATTTTCTATTTAATGATGTCAATGTCAAACTTACTAATTGAGCTAAAAAATATGGTAAAATAATTTTTTTTTTTATTATAAACATTTACAACAATCAACTTTAAACGATTAACAAAATAGGTTAAATATGTCATTTTCCTTATTTTTAACTTATTAATAATCAAATTAATATTAAATATTATATCAAATCAGTATTAATTTAAAACAATTTTTTTTGTTCTTAATTATTTTTTTTTATATGTAAAAACTATTTTTTAATAATATTAAAACTTAGAAGTTATAGAAAAAGTCTAATTGCACATTTTAAAACATCGCGAAAAGTTGATTTAGAATAGTATATTTTTGTTTCTGATGGAAGTTCCTTGTAGTACAATGTATAAAACTTATAACTTTGTTAACTGTTATAACTTTATCAAAAATGGCCAAATCAGTATATTTTTTTTATTTATATGCATGTCTTTATCTATCATTTGGTTTTTTTTATAAATCTAACCCTTTACCTACCCACAAGAGGGATTCAAATNTTTTTTTTATAAATCTAACCCTTTACCTGCCCACAAAGAGGGATTCAAATTAATAATTTTTTTTTTTTAGTTAAAGTAAATCATTAAAATTAATTCAGTTCTGGATATTTTAATAGTAGAATCTTTTTAAATACCTAAAATTACTTAGAAATGATTACTATGATTTCTATTTAAGTGCTCTATTACGATGAAAATGCAAAAAAATAATAAGTTTTTCTGATAAATATACTGTAAATAGTAATTATAAAATTTCCTGACTGCAGATTAATCTTAAAAATAACATTGTTTTAATTCTCATNTCTGACTGCATATTAATCTTAAAAATAACATTGTTTTAATTCTCATAAAATTTTCTATTTAATGATTCATTCTAGTCAACGAAGGAGTAATTTTGGCGAATAGCAAAAAAAATTCCCAACCAAATTTTTTTTTTTTTAAAGTAGGAAATTGGTGGATTGTTCCAACAGCAACATCAACTCTTATTTCTTTAATTATATCCTGATTAGTAGTTCTTTGATTTTAAAATATAATACTAATTATACTTATTAAATTTAGTATGAAATTGATATTTAATATTGTAATTTAAACGGAGAAATTATAAAAATAATAAAGAAGTTATATTTTGCTTTACTTTTACGTGTATAAAAATTTAAAGGGCTTGATACAATAATTTTCAATAAAAACTGTTTGTTACTATAAAAAAATGCACTGGACTACAAGGAACTTTCATCAGAAGCAAAAATATACTTTTCTAAATCAAATTTTCGCGTTGTTTTCAAATCTGCAAGTAGACTATTTCTATCACTTCTAATTTTTTATATTATTACTAATTATATATATAAAATAATAATTAAAAGAAAAAAAAATTTGTTTTCAAATTATTACTGATTTGATTTTTAATATGTTAAAAATAATCAGTCCAAATTTTCAATTTTAACCTATTTTTTTGGTTCTTTAAAGTTGATGAAAAATTTTTGATAAAGATTTATGAAAGTTTATAGTAAAATAAATTGAATATATTACCATAACTTTTAGCTCAATTACAAGTTTAAAATTGACATCTAGGCCAGTCAACAAAGGAAAAATTGCGGAAAAAATTTTGTTTTTTTAAAAGTTGAATTAAAATATGTATAATGACATACTAATAGTCCTCAAGATTGGAATTGAGCTTTTTTTTTACAGCCTCGCAAAAGTTCAAAAATATGAGCTTATTTAATTTTCTCAAAAAATATTTAACTTACAAAAAAAGTTTCGTACAAAAGTTGTTTAAAAGAAAATTATAAACAAAAAATTATCTTATATTTTTTCATTTAAACAAACATTATTCGAGTTACATTACATTTAATGTGAGTACTAAAATTTATATTCCATTATTTTCATATTACGGTTGCTTTTTATCATGTTATACATTAGACACAATTTTATAAATGCATACGTGTGTATGTGTGAGNTTAGACACAATGTTATAAATGCATATGTGTGTATGTGTGAGTTTATTTATTTATTGTATCATTAAAGTGTAGTGTATATTAATATACAAGCGATAGAGTAGGTAATTGATTTGATGCTATATTGTTTAAACCCAACTAAACGCTAAATTGTACATTCCCAAACAACAATCATATTATGTCAAATGCCACCTGAATTTTCTTTTTCTTTGCCTTAAACCCAACTACTTGGGGTCGGCCACCCTTATCTTAAGCTTCCACTTGACACGATCTCCCACATCTTCTACGCTCACATCAGCTGTCCTCAAATCGCATTCAATAGCATCCCTCCATCTCTTTTTTGGTCTTCCTCTATCTCTTCTTCCTTCAACATTCATTTCTATAACTGTTCTTACAGCTTTCGATTCTTCTTTCCTCATACCATGACTAAACAATCTAAGTCTATTTTCTGTCATCTTATCCACGATTGACGCAACACCTATACTTCCTCTTATATGCTCGTTCCTTATCCTATCTTCTCTAGTCACTCCACTCATCCAACTAAGCATTCTCATCTCTGCTACACTTATTCTCTGCTCTACTTTCTTATCAACCACCCAACACTATGATCCATACATCATAGCTGGCCTCACAATTTCATACTGAATTTAAAAACTATAATTAGTATTTATTCATATATTATATTTTAAAATCAAAGAACTACTAATTAGGATATAATTAAAGAAATAAGAGTTGATGCTGCTTTTAAAATATTTCACCAATATCTCTAAAGGAAACACTATCTACAGATTTGCATTGAAGCGTTTCTTATGATAGTGATTTTAATCAATGTCAGATATCATCTATACTTGTCCCATCTATGCATCGTCCATACTGTCACACTGTGCCTCGACCCCACTGTACTACCGTTCTTTTTTATTGTTCTTTTAAGTGAATTAGATTTTCATTAAATTCATTGACTTTGCTTATCACAACCACGATAATTATTCTTAATAAATCATACGACACTGAGCATCTATATCGAGTTTGTTGTTTATTATGCACCTAATAGTTAATTTATTAGACAAAGAAAGATATATTAATAGTCTATGTTATTGTAATATAATTTGACGTTAACTAGTGTAACTGACGTAAACTCGTTACAAGTTAATGTTGTTAAATTGGTATTAAATTATTAATTAAGATAATTTAATTTAATTTAATATTTTAAATCAAATACCAACACAATTTTAAAAGCTGATTAAATTTGATATGAACGTTGATTTTATGAAAAATAAATCAAAAGACAATTTTCACATAGAGTTCAAATATTAAACATTTTTTATGCACACATTTAGTCGCCTTTTTAAATCAAATAAAATTCACTAAAATGGTCATTATTACATTTTTACTTATATCTCACTATATTTCCAATGGAAGATATTATATAATATATAATATAAAATTTATAATCAAACAACAATGAAGCGTAAAATAAAAGCTCCCAATTAGTAGATTTGGTAAAATCAAAACAACTTACCGAAAGGAATATTATGTTTTATATTTTTTCTAGTTAATCGCCATCCTACGTATGATTTTTGAGGAAATTTTTTTGCTATTTCAAAACAATACTGATATTTTTTTAATTCTGATACAAATAAAGTAATTTTATTCACTTCCTGTACAGCAAAGTCGTGAATTTCATTAATATTATCTTCGGTTACATTTGCTTTCTGTAATTTACTAAAATAAGATTTTAAAAAATTATTTCTTAAAAATGAATAATGATATTTTGAAATTGATTGCGTTTCTCTACTTGCAAACAAATCGTTATGATCTTTAAATGATGAAATAAGTGCGTACATCTTATTAAACCCATACTCAATTTTAGTTCTATATTCTTCTTCAAATAAATTCAAATCCATAAAAGATTTCATATTTTCAACAATATTTTGACCCAAATCAATGATTTTATATTTCATATCGTTTTTTAATTTTATATTTCGAAATTTAGGAAGATAAAGGAATTTTCTAACTAATGAAAAATAAAAACGTACGATCAACATAATTGGACGAACTGTTGCTGAATTTACCAAATTTATAAATGTTTGTACATTTTCCAAGTTAAAATCGAACTTGACGAAACGAAACACATCAAATAATTTAATTTCATAATTATCAGAACCTTTTATTAACAACGGGGCATATCGAACCATGTCTAAAACATCGTCTTGTTGATTATCACTATTGTATCTAATATATTGTTTTACTTGAGAACCTGATGCAAGATCTCGTTCCAAAAAACAAGGCCGATTTTCCAACAAATCATAAAATAAAACATTACTAGGATTGTAAATATGGTATAATTTTCTTTCAAAAGCTGTCGCCAAATGACTTATTATCTTACAATATCTTTTTAATATTTTATTATCTGTTCCCACAAACATATCTCTGAAAGTCAAATATTCTTTCATAATTTTAATTATTTTATTATTTAGTTTTTCGATTTCATTACGTAAGACTTCCAGGCTGTGTTTTATTGGCTCTTGGAAATTAGTTAGATATATGAAATCATTTTTAACTGAAATATTAAAACACTTTCCATTTAAAAAATATTCCAATCTTTCTACAATTGAACGATGTAGAATTTTGTAGCCTTCAAGCAAATTCTGTGATCTTTCAGATCTACTGAACTCGCCATTTTCATTTTTAGCAATTATATTAATTGATCCCGAAACGTTGTTCAAGTATAAATTTACAGTCATTAAATCAGCTGCGATATACTCTTCGTCCATTTCTCGTAATGAATCTAACATTATCATAACAATTTCGCCATGAGATTTTACTGCTGTTCCATAATCTTTTAATTCAGATTCTGGTATGTTATTTTCAAAGTTATATAAATATTTCTCACTGTACTTGAAATAATTAAACAAATGTTTAGAGAAATTACAATGTAACTCTAAAGGGTCTAAGGAAATTGAATATTTTTTGTAAATAATAACACATACGAAAAGTTTAATTATGATCATTTTGACGTATACTAACAATTAGGCAATACTAACGAGTTTTAACGAACATTTAACTTAAGTAATATATAAAAAAATATTACTTGATTTATAATTATACTAAAAATAATACTAAATATAACACAATGATATATTTACTTACAACAGAAAATGTTTGTGCCTCTATATATGATTATATTTGCTTTAATTTTATTTAATTTGTATTTCAAACGATATGCTTCGATCTATTTAGTTTTAGTTAATCTACTTTTTTGTTATGTCTTCACAAAGTATAAAATAAAGTTTATTTCCATTATTTTTTTCTTTTAGCTTTGTTGCAAAGCCTACGTGGTAACGTATATTTGGCGATACGTTTATTATAAACGTTTCTTTCTTATCGGCCGTTTTATAACATCTCAAGTTCAGCCTAAAGTCTATCAATTAGTCCACGGTTGACCCTGAGTGTCTGTAGTAGAAGCTCTATTAACTTTTGATGTCCTCCCCTCTCTTGAAAATATCAGTTTTTGTCTTGATTAGTGAACTAATTTTTTTTCCTTTGGTTTTATTTGTTGTAAATTTGATTAGAATAAATATTACAACTTGTATTTTGATTAGTATTTTATTTTGTTACATCTAAAACAATTGAGGTTAATAACTTTTGAATACAAGTTTACCAAACAGGACCTAACTTAGATATTAAGTTAAGATGGGTTTCTCATTTACAATCTTTTTTTTTCTTTTGTATCGCGCTAGACGAATTTCCTCCGTTGTATTACTGAAACAATATGAGGATCTTATACCTCTTCTCACTCATTAATTTTGACACTATTATTCGCGCTAAGATTAACTACGGTTCTTTGTTTAATATCTTCTTCATCCTTATGCCATCGTAATAAGCTTAATTTAATAATTTAAATCCATTCACTGACTTTGGCGATACATACCCAAATTTCTTCCTATCGTTGATTCAATGTGTTCTTCACTTTCTTCTCCCACTATCATATTCACAAGTTCTATAGTTGTCGTTTCATTAATTAATTAATTTCTTGTTCTAACTAATTTTGCAGGCTTCTTATTTCCTAACCTTCTACTTCTTTCTTCGTCTTTTATAAATAATTTATTTTTTCATTATACTTCTATAAACTTTCCTAACTTTCGATTAATTTTTACTGGTGGTCTGCCTCATCACTCAAAACAGGTTAAGCTTATTACATACAAAGTCCTAATATTTCATTTTCCAACAACTTGCATTCTTCATTAAGGTCGAATTACACTAAACGGAACGTTAACGTCACGTTACAGATTGGCAGCGCCACGTCAAAAAAAATTTAACCATGTATTTACGTAATGTTAATGTTACGTAACGTGTCCGGTTTATGTGAACAATACAAAATAAATACATGGTTAAATCTCGTATAGTAATTTCGATATATTAATATTGTCAAAATATTCTTACAAAATACTTTTTAAAATATTTTGAAGCAAATATTGCGACAATATCTCATATATATATAATAAAAAATATATTCTATTGAAATATTTCCATAATATGCTCACAAAATAATTTTTTAAATATTTGTTTATGTATATTTGGAGAATATATTAAAGAGAATAAATAACGAATATTACACTAAAAATATTTCTACAATGTGCTTAAAAATATCTTGTTGGCCAACTGAGGTAACTTATGAGAGGCAAACCATCCTCTTGCCTCCCTTTAGTTACACTATTGGATGTTATTGATATCTAGTTATATAATACTTATGTATTATATATACATATTCCTAATTCCTTAATAAGTAAACAACCGTTTCCTCTAATTAGTATCAATTTTAATTAACTTAAGTAAGTCTACAGGGAGGAATTCAAAATAGCAACTTTTGCACAAAAATTTCATTTTTTCAATTTAAGTTTGGACAATTTTATAGATATAATACATCCTTTAAACATATAAATATTAAAACTTATAATATGTTTTAGAATAAAAAAAAAAAAAATTGTCCCAAAGATTTATTTTCTATGTGCATATAGTTGCCGTAGTTAAAAAACATAGTATTTTTGTCTTAAAATTCTCGATTCCATTTTATATTTTTAATTTTATAATGCTTTAACTTTTTGTAAATTGTATGAATCAATATAATATATTTTTTTTAATACTTTATATTTACTCCTTTCATTCGTCAATTTTTTATCTTATCGAACCATTTCCCTTCATATAAAAGGAGGTTCAAATCTTAAATATTTGAGTAAAAAGTAGAAATTTTACAACCTAACTTTTGAAAATGTTACGGAAATGTCTTTTAAATGTATGATATATTAAAGCTTGTTTTACGAACTATTAGTTAAAAAAAAAAAATTTTCTCGGTAACCTTCATTGTACGAAGTGGAACAAAAATTGTAATTTTCGTGTAAAAAATTACTTTTTATCTTTATGTTATTTTGTTACTTAAGGCTGCGTTGACTTTTTGAAAAAAAGAAATTTGCATTTTTCGCTTAATTCATTTTGAGTTTAAAAAAAATTTAATATTCGTTTGATTTTTATCTCATCAAAATTTATTTACTTTAATGAATATCAAGGACCACATCACTGTAGTTTCCTCTGTGAGAAGGTATATCTTAATCATCGTCGAAACTGAAGCGTATTTTAAAGGCAAAGATAAATCGTTATATTCGAAAGGCATAGAAGTTTAGAACGGCGTTGGAGTGAATGTATTATTCTAGAAGGATACTATGTTCACGATAAAGTCAAATTTAGCTATAAAATTATGTTTTGTTTGTGAGTTCTGTGAATTTTCGAACAACCTGATAACAATTTCAGAATGGGAAACATCTATTTGTATACGGATAGACAGCAAAGATAAGTAAATACAATTTTTTATAATTTATAAAATAAAAACTCATTTTATTAATGTTCTTTTTTTTAATATAATTTTTAGAGTGTAATTGTATAAAATATTTATTTTATTTTATTTAAACATTAGTTAAATTGTTAGTGTGTAGACAATCTATTTATAAATAATATTCTGTTAATTTTTTTTATTAATTTTATACTTATTAATATAACATCAAACACATGTTTTACTTATTTACATTTCCGTCCTATTATTGAATTAAATTTTTTATTGACCTAACTCTGTTTTATACTCTACATTTTTTTGTTAAATTATATAGATATCATAATTTATTCTTGGTTACTTATAATCTTGTTGAATATTAGCAAAGCATATAGGTTATATGTTACAGTCCATAGTTTACATGCCAGTCGGTACGCTAGAAGACCTATTACAATTTTGTTGTTGTTATTATTATATAAATATAAATTATTTGTAATTAATAAAATATTTTCGAGCGTACGATTAAAATATTTTTTTTGGAAAAATTCCCGCTCATCCCAAAGTACATTTATTATTTATTAGTTATTAATAACTTTTTTATGTCTTCCTTTATACATTATAAAATTGTCAAGTTGTCAATTAAAAAAAAAATATATTTTTTTAAATTGTAACATACATATTTAACTATTCTGTAAAAAAGAAAATCATCTAAACAGAAAAATGACTTATTGGTGAAAATTTTTTCACAACAATAACTTCAAAAGTTATTACAATTAAAAAAATAAACTTGAGTTGAGACACGAAAATAACAATTTTGATAATTCGAAATTAATACATTTTAATGCATAAAAAAGTTCATTTAAGTTAATAAATTATTATAATGTATTTAACACTATTTTTAGTATACTAAAGTGTTATTTTTTAAAGTGTTTTATCTAAAACATTTTGAATTTTTTATTCATGTAGTTCACGTCAAAATGATTACAGTAAAGTAAATATAATTATATATAGAGTCATGACTATTTTCTGTTGTAAGTAAATATATCATTGTGCTATATTTAGTATTATTTTTAGCATAATTATAAATCAAGTAATATTTTTTTTAATATTACTTAAGTTAAATATTCGTTAAAACTCGTTAGTATTGCCTAATTGTTAGTATACGTCAAAATGATCATAATTAAACTTTTCGTATGTGTTATTATTTACAAAAAATATTCAATTTCCTTAGACCCTTTAGAGTTACATTGTAATTTCTCTAAACATTTGTTTAATTATTTCAAGTACAGTGAGAAATATTTATATAACTTTGAAAATAACATACCAGAATCTGAATTAAAAGATTATGGAACAGCAGTAAAATCTCATGGCGAAATTGTTATGATAATGTTAGATTCATTACGAGAAATGGACGAAGAGTATATCGCAGCTGATTTAATGACTGTAAATTTATACTTGAACAACGTTTCGGGATCAATTAATATAATTGCTAAAAATGAAAATGGCGAGTTCAGTAGATCTGAAAGATCACAGAATTTGCTTGAAGGCTACAAAATTCTACATCGTTCAATTGTAGAAAGATTGGAATATTTTTTAAATGGAAAGTGTTTTAATATTTCAGTTAAAAATGATTTCATATATCTAACTAATTTCCAAGAGCCAATAAAACACAGCCTGGAAGTCTTACGTAATGAAATCGAAAAACTAAATAATAAAATAATTAAAATTATGAAAGAATATTTGACTTTAAGAGAAATGTTTGTGTTGGAAAATAATGAAATTTTAAAAAATTGTTGTGACATAATAAAACATTTAGCATTGGCTTTTGAAAAAAAATCATACAATATTTACAATCCTAAAAATGTTTTGTTTTACGATTTGATGGAAAATCGGCCTTGTTTTTTGGAACGAGATCTTGCATCAGGTTCTCAAGCAAAACAATATGTTAGATACAAAGGTGATAATCAACAAGACGATGTTTTAGACATGGTTCGATATGCCCCGTTGTTATTAAATAGTTCTAATAATTATCAAATTAAGTTATTTGATGTGTTTCGCTTCGTCAAGTTCGATTTTAACTTGGAAAATGTACAAACATTTATAAATTTGGTAAATGCAGCAACAGTTCGTCCAATCATGTTAGTCGTACGTATTTATTTTTCATTAGTTAGAAAATTCCTTACCAATTGTGAATTTAAAAATGAGAAATTAAAAAACGATATGAAATATAAAATCATTGATTTGGGTCAAAATATTGTTGAAAATATGAAATCCTTTATGGATATGAATTTATTTATAGAACAATGTGCAACTACCATTGAGCGTATTTTTAACTTATCTTATAAAGTTATTTCATCCTTCAAAGAACGTAATGATTTGTTCTTAAGCAGTGAAATAGAAACAATTTCAACAAATATTTATCAATATATGAAATATATATTACCTGAAACATTTATCATAGAATGGAATATTGTTAGCTTTTATGATATTACTGAAAAGAAAGTTAATGAAATTGTATTGTTTGTATCAGAATTGAAAAAATATCAGTATTGTTTTGAAATAGCAAAAAAGATTTCTCATAAATCATTTTTTAATTGGCAATTAACTACATATACAATAAAAAATAATATTCCTATTGGTAAGTTAATGTAATTTTACATGAATGTACTATTGAAGCGTTTTTTATATACTTAATAGTTGTTTCATTTCCCTAATATTAATAATAGGTTTTATGAATATTATGCTTAAAAAAATACCTTAAAAACAACGCTAATAACTAAGATATTTTTGAACGTTAGAAATTGTTGTTGGATATAAGATATAATTTTTTTCAATTTTAGTTTCTATTTTAGATTTAAAAATAATAAAATGTGCAACGAAAAATTTTAATAGTAAAACTTGATGTGAAAATAGGTTTTTGATTTAAATTTTAGTATTTTAATTACCTTGAAATAATTATCAGATAATGTATAACATGATAAACAAGGTATATAATCGGATGATACATATTTTGGTTATTATTAAATATTATAGTTAAATCTACTCGTACCTGATAATCATTGGAATAATGATGGGTTTTCTCCCATTAAAATTTTATGTTAGTAAAAAAGTGTATGTGATATTTTTTGCCTACATTTTATTAAATAATAGTGAAATTTTGAGAAAAAAAATATAATATATTATATTACACGTTTTATTTATATAAAGTTTTTAGTATCGGCTTATTGTTTTGCAGAATTTTAGAATAAAATTTGAATAGTAAGTTGTCTAAATATAGTATTATCAGATATTGAAAATACTTCACGTTGATCAAAAAGAATTTATAAATTTTTGAATTATGTGAGTTTTATTTACATTTGAGTAAATAAAAAGGTATAGCAGAGAATATCGGATAAATATATCATCATAAATATTTAATATGTTTCTTTTGACGTTTCATCATTATATAATATATTTAGATAATTCTGACATTTATTAATTATACGTAAATCAAAAAATGTATAATTAATGGTTATAATTCCATTTAATTTATTAATGAGCTAATAACTACTAGTTAAGCACAACTTGAGACCTTGGTGATCTTAAGCAGGTTCCGAAGGATGCCTTTAGTAGCTGAAGCCACCAGGCGAAGCAAAGTCAAATGTTGAGCCGAACTGAAAAATTCTTTGGAGAAATCATGGGAGGAATCATAGTAGGTCGTAATGCGGAAAATTTGCGGCCCGCCGACATCCAGGCAGCTGGAAGCGGACGTGTTTGACAGATCGGTGGATACGCTGATGATTTGGTAGTGGAAAAATTAACCTGCCAGGTTAAATCCTCTTCACTGATTTGGTTCTCAAGATCGATAACGAGTTGGGTTTCGGAGTGGTGGTGAGCATGGACATTCGTAACGGGTTCAACAACATGAGAATATCTCACATAGTTGGAAATCTGGACAAGTTTTGGGTGTCTCTATACGTTGACCGAATAATTCGGTCGTATTTTAGCGACCGGATCAGACCTATAACAATTGATCTCCCGCAAAGAACAGTTTCCTCTTCAAAAATATCGCGTACAACGCAGTAATCCACAGCGTAGAATACTGCGAATAACACTTCCATGTTTATCATGTGGTATTTCAGCTACCAATTTCATCCCAGAGATTTTTGGTTTGCACTATGTGTTTCCTGGATACATGTAAAATCACATTGTGTTTCTTTAGATATACTTTTAAAGAGTATTTCCTTGTCACTAATCACGATATTTGTCGAGGTTATCGTCAGAGCTGACCCTGAAAAGCACCTTTTTGTAGTTGACTTTGGATTGGTATTTATCATGTTTGGTCTATAAGACACGAGCCTCATATATTATCGCCGCCTAGGTTGGGTTGGATTTAGGATCAGTCTCAGTACTCGTTTTTTGCATTTAGCTTACTGTATAAAGTCAATTCATTGTTCATTTTTATTGACACCCTGTACACTTGTTTACTTTTGTCCTCCATATTATCAGAGTATTTGTGTCTTGCACTTCGTTTACATCTCATACCCAGGTATACCCTTATTCCCTTCTTAGAACAATGGTCTCTCGAAACCCACAACCAATCCAGTGTGTCAGACGAGCACGGTAACTACTGAACAACTTCACGTATGTGAATATCTAAGTAGACTCATCATCATTTTCGCATGCTTAACACTCTTCTCCTTCTTCTGTAGTTTTTTAGTATTAAAACAACAATCAGAATAAATTTCTTTTGAATATTTGAAAGGGAACAAAGAATAAATAAAGATGAATGAATAAAAATGAATAAAGAGGTTTTTTTATTTACTACGTCCTCTTACTGTTAATAGTATTAATAACTCACCAATAAAAGTTCCATAGCCTATTTAGCCCCTTAGTACTGTTATTGTAAATTATCATTAACATAATAAAAAATATATGAATATTTGATATAAAAATTATAATTGATAATTATGTTTTTAGATCAATTAGGAAATCATGAAGACATATATCGATCACTTTATTTTTCTGATGTTAATACAACTGATATAAAGAAACATAATAGTCATAGCTCAAGTGATGAAAATTATGAGATGAATAATCATAACAATAAAGTTTTTAATAATGGAAACCAGTCATATTACAGTCCTAAATATCTAGTTGATTATTTACTTTATGATTAGTTTTTACAATTTATTCACTTCATATAAGGTGATATAAGGATCATACACAGTATAAAGCGTACAAAAACAATATAATGTAACATAATTATTTAAATAACTTAACAATAATAAATAAGAAATTTAGTTAACAGTCAAAAATGTAATGTAATAAGCTAATTCACGTAACTTTTGCCATGGAAATAATTGTATTCATTATTTTTTTATAAGATATTTTTTGATTCAATAAAACAAATCTACAAAAAAAAATTAACAAATTATTTTATAATGTGCTATATTTAGATGACTTTATTGCGAAATTTAGAGGGAGATCCCAAGGTTGGCATCAGACAAATAATATCAGAATAAAATCATAATTATGGATTAAAAGAAATGTTTATTACATTTTGTTCTATTATAATCTCATTATATTATTTTAAAATTTTTGAAATGTATAGATTGTTCCGTCAAGATAAATAGTTTTTAATTTAAGCTAAAAATGTTCTGAATTTTAAACTTTGAAGTTAAACAATAAAAAAAATTGCTAAATTTAAAAATGATGAAAAATGCAAAAAAAGGCTTTTTCACTCGTTTTATAATAAAAAATTTTTAATAATCGATATAATAATGTTATTTACATCGATCATTATAATAAATGTGCAATAAAATTGATTTATAGCTTTATCAATAATTTAAATTTCTGGCGGGACTGGAATTTATGATGAACCAGCGAGGGAGTATACTTGTTTACACTAAGCATAAGACTGTCGATATGCGATAGAGTAAAGCTGCTAACTCATCCCGAGTACGCGTCTTCCTCGGTGAGTATAACCTCAAAATATTCATTGGCTACACACACAAAATATCAGTATTTGTTGTAAAAATCTAAGCTGAATAAATAGTAGCAGTTAGTTTCGGCGATAAGGCATCTTCAGGTTACTGTGTTACGGTCAGTTATTCGTCCTTCACCAACATTAACAATTAACAACTATACTAGTGCCTGATCAGCACAAACGACCCTAAAAATTAACTATGAGTATGCAACGCGCGGGTGTAAATAAACCGATTACACACTATTCTGAAATTAATTAAGTCTTAGAAGGTCATAATGGCGGTGGTTTAAACGTCCTCATCTATTGTCACTGATCTCTTCATTTCACCTATCTCGTGTTTCCCTATGTCAAAGTCGTACTCTATAAATGTAATGTATATTACCCCCCGACTAGAATATAGAATAGTTTTCCTTATCCTCCAGTAGAAGGCATCGTAGGAGGAGAACAGCAATTTTGAATGACCACCTCCCCCACCTATGGCAATGAGTTACAGTGTACATGCGCACTATAGTTTAAACCACCGCCATTATGACCTTACCCCCACCATCATAAGACCACCCCTCCCCTTACCCACTACTTTTGTCTTTGAGCTGTCCAATAAGTTATGTATAGATCATTCGGCACAACATTAAAGAAAGGACTACTTTCGACTTATGATAATGAGGAAAATAGGAAGGTTATGCTCTCTTTCTCACTAATTAAATCTACCAGTCCCTCATTCCACAAGATATCCTCTAATGTCTCTCTTAAATACTCCTAATTCCGTAATTTTTCAAAATACTCTTTCACCTTTTTTTCATATCATCATCACTTGAAAGTACCTTATTATCAATACATGTTATACACCTTATGTAAGGATCAAATAGTGTTAAAGAACCTAACCAAACATAGGCGACAAGAGAAAAGCCGGTCGACCAGTTGATTCTAAAATTTTTTGTATATGATTTTGTTTGAAGAGGAGTTTATAGGTAGTGAAAGGAGAAGGAGGACTAGAAACAAATAAGCTAAAAACAAAATAATTAGTTCAAAGTACCATACAAGTACAGATAAAAAAACTTATACATTGTGATCGACTGAATAACGTTAGTACCTTCAACAGATGTTTAATTAGTTACCTTATGAAATATTGTCTGTAAGAGTGGACTGTATGATAGAGATTTTGGTTGATGTTAAGTAAAAAGATGATATAAAAATAACAAAGTCAATTTATTTCTAAGAGCAAAAAACTAATTATTATAAACACATGCTGAATTATATTTGTACACATGCAATGAAAAACAATTGAATAGAATAACTATTATAGTTTGTGCAAAAAGTGTACAAAGGTTGAATAAAGTTAACAAGTGTTTAGAGAGTAATGAAGTACAATTGTTCCAGAAAATTACTTAAAAAAAAAAAAGTAAAATATTATAAACTAATTATGAGGCGATAACAACTGGATAATAACTTCAAGTTCAAAAAGAAGGAGAAAAGAATTTATCTTAACCTCACAGTGACCAAGTGGTCGATTAAATTAAAGTGTAACAATAAATGAATAAGAAAATAATTAACTGAACAATATAACACTCAACTACAATATTGAGGCGATGAGCTCAATTATTTAAGTATTGTGCAATCAAATGGACTTATGAACTAGATTTGCTGTGTAAAAAAAACAACATGATTGATTGTACAATCATGTGCGACAACAATGAGCAAATATTAAGTTCAAAAGCCCCAACACTATTATAAAATAAATATTGACCTATTAAAAGAGACAAAATGCAATATTAGATTGGATAAAAATGTAAATTTTATCCAAACTGAACAAATGGACCAAGTGGTTTGCAAATTTTACAAATTAAGAAGAATGGTCTAATAAGTAAATTTGTTCTTACAAACAAACAGAAAATTAAGTTATTCCAAGTTAAAATGCGAAATGACAATTGGACGCTATAGGTCACTTTAAGCTAATGTGCAAACCACGAGGTGTAAGTAAACAATATTACGTTAAATTGTTAAAAACTATTACCAAATTAATATAAGTACAAGCTAAATGTTGTAGCTAAAGGTGCACTGCCGTTTCAATATACAAACAAAAAAACTTAAACAAAATTCAACTTTACAATATAAAAATGTTTGTAAAGTAAGGTTAACTTTGACGGTGCTCGAGGACTGTGAGAACAACGAAAGAACAAAAAAAAAACAATATAAACGAATGGTCGTAAGACGACGTATAGCGAGAGAATAATAATACAAACCGTAACGGTTAAGCGTCCGATGAGTGGAATGTTATCATCAGCTGATACAACTATCAGTATGACCGCCTTAAGCATTCACCCGAATACCTTATATAATGATAAACGTTAGACCTTTTCTCTCTTACTTTTTCAAGTCTATAGATTTCTATTTCGTCTTCATTTTTTCCTAGCCTATAATACAACTCATCATACCTCTTCAACTTCGCCTTACTTACTACACACTTGGCTTTTTTGCACAAGCGTTTATACTTTTACGTTTATATTTTTACTCTACTTTTTTTTTTAATCATTTTGAAAGGTTACAAATATATAAAAATCAAACTAATTGGCCGCAACGAAAAATTTGTAACTTTCATGGCGTTTTACAAAATGATAAGAAAAGGGTCGCCAACCTACTGGGCGAGACAGTGTATTGTCAGACCACAGTAGGATTTAAAAAGCATTAACTTTTGTATATTAAAATAATTAAAAAAAATATATAATTAATAAATATTAAAGTTGATGTCCGTTGAGTCGTTGATAGTAGATGTACACCAAAACCTCGTGACAGTTGTCACATAACCATATCGATCAGGGATGACCTTATACAAGGCCGTTGCCCGTACCTTATAAACTAGGCGAGTTGATTTTTGAAAGGAAAAAAAAATACATGAGTCCATTGAAGATGGAACACGCAAAAAAAAAGAAAAATATGATGGTTAAGTTAAATTAAGGGGACTTTATTAAGTAAAAAAAAAAAAACAAAAAAAATTAAGTTACTACGAGGCAAAAAACCGAATGGTCAAAAAACCTCGTCTACAAATTAAAGAGAACAAAGAAAGAGAAAAAAAACAGATATTAATAAAAATATAGTTACACCTTCACTTTTATTATTAGAGAATACGATGAACGTCTTCGGGTACCCACCGGCTATTAATCGCGGAATTACCGCTAAGCACGGCGGGTATACGTCCCAAGTAAGCGACTGGTTTTTGGCAGTTAGGCTTAGCTTGCAAGACGTTGGGACACCCCGGGATAAATTGCACTACGTCGCCACATTGTACTAATAACATGTTCATCACCCAATAAAATATAATATAAAACCTATAAAAAATATATATTACACAACAGGTGGTATTGGAACACGCCTGCCATGTTGAGGGACCTAAATAAAAATAAGGGCACCTATATAAGAAAAACTATATAAAAAAAATTCGCCACACGTGCTTATGGCACGGCACACTAAAAAAAATTCTGGCTCAACAACATTAAAACAAAAATATACATTACCAGCCCCGAAGGACTAACAAATATGGAGGCAGGTTTAGCTGACGCCAATATAAACAATAATTACATAATAAATAAATCTCGGTCACTCACGACAAAAAAAAATATAATACAAAATAGTTGTAGCGCATACAACAATAAAAAAAACTGCTACGGACGAAAATTAGCGTACCAGTTCGACGATGGCTAATTTTCGACGAAACGTCTGGCGTTTGACCCGGCGGTCCGTTGGCGACAACACGGCTAGCCTTTAGAGTAGGGGTCAAAAAAAAAACTTAATACCCAGTGCCGGAAATTACTAAGAACAATTTAAATAATAAGGCGACAATGTATGCGGTGAGCAGTGCAAATGACGTTCAAGATGGGAAAGGAGCGGGGTGAATGTACACACAAATGCCGTCCATGAACCGGTCTGAAGTAGTACACAGCTGACTATCTCGCACGTGCATAAACAAATCACAACACCTTATCATGATAATTTTACCGACAAACGCCGTCGCAGTCCGCATTCGGCTCAACACAAATATATATATATATATATATATATATATATACAAATAGACAAAAAATAAATAGATACTTTTGTCACGTTACAATTTATACGACTGCAACGTCCTTTTCCGCTAGGATCCTAACAGTTTGCTAAGCTGTACCTAAACGGTGCAACACTGGCCCTATATAATTTATATCCCACTAAAAGGGCAGTTAGCGGTTTCGTAACCAAATAATATAGACTCTCAAGTAACAACAATAACAAGCATTTATTTCTATTTAATATTATTTAAATATAACCTGACTGGACCTCTAGAGATGTTGGTGGTATCCAGTTAGGTGAGCGACAGCGGCGAGTGTACACAACCCGAGATAATAATAATAAGTAAAATAATAATAGTATTTAATTTAGTAACCACAACAATACTGCGTGAGTTAAGTTATCAGGTCAATA